TCTCTCTCTCTCTCTCTCTCTCTCTCTCTCTCTCTCTCTCTCTCTCTCTCTCTCTTCCAATTCTTTCGCAACAAGAAATAATACGTCAGCAATTTCTAATGCTCGAAAAGTAAAACAAGTTAATGTTTCTTAATACTTGAATATTTTCAAGCCAATTTCTTAAATGCCCATACGCGTGCTGCATGGGTGAGCTTTTTGTTTTTAATAATATTTATATGTATCTAAAATTTGGACAACACAAATATATGTACATTAAAAGAAAAATCTTAAAAATTGCAATTTTTATGGCATTTCTTTAAGAATAAAAGAAAAGAATTAAATATTTGATTATTATATACGTATGTATAATTGCAAAATAATTCTCCCGTTCATCCACGGTTACTTCTACTATATTTGCACACTTGTGTTGAAAGATTTTCAAATTTGGGAATCAGCCTCCTCTGCACTCGCGAGAAATTGTCATTAATTATTATTTAAGAATAAAATTGACAAATCGAAATTGGAGAGGCTGAAGATTTCGTCAAAATCGTCGTTATCGAATTACGTCTTATCGCTTGACCATTATGATCCGAAGGATATATCTTTCTCTTGTCACTGTGAAATTTTGAAAGCTATTTTTAGATGTTAACGAAGTTGCTCTAAGGGGGCAACATTTTATCGCTGTATGTTTTACATACTCGGGACCAACGGAAAAAGTCAACGAAAAGTCTGTTTGTTCCAGTAGAAAAAGTACGCGCTCATGTCCCAATAATTCTTTCACTTTCGGTGCGTTATGTAGCGAATAGCGGTTTTTATCACACAAAGAGACCCGTATCTTAAAGAATTAAATTTGGACACATTGCTAATATTCTGAAAGAAGAAGAGAAAGGAAGATAACGAATGTTGCCTAAGAATTGCGAGATTAACGAAATGCGGTTATCTAACATTCTGTGTGTTGCATTGTTATGTTTCATTATGCGCATTCGGCGATATTCGCGTAATTAGAGAGTGAATGTTTGTGCATTAAGATATCGCAATCTTTATCTTCGCGCCTGCAGTTATGACATTATCTCTGTAATTGGAACGGAGAATATAAACACTTCAGAGCAATCGTTTCTTTTTTTTAGTTGTGACGATTTTTCTTCGGAAATGCACCTGCGGACAAGGATTTTAATAAGTTCGCAAGGAATCGTACGAAAGCGAGAAAGCATTTTATTTCTGGAAAAAGTAACGTGTTTACAGTGGATTCATCACCGATGATAATTCATCGCGTGAAACATCCTACTCGCTGATCTGTGACCTATTAATCTATGTCGTTCATCATTCCCGACGTTATTTTAGCCTTAGCGTCTAGGCGAACGTTGTTTACAGCACAGATGATAATTGCATTGCTCGATAATTATCATTGTAGTTGTCAGTTGATTGATACAATCCTCACATTTCTCGGTATTGAATAATATTTTATTATTATCAAAATTTATCATTATTATTTAAAAATGCTCGCCTTTTTTAATGGTACGACCGAAACACTGGAAAAAAGTAGCAGGATCAAAGAGTCTTTATATTATAGAACAGGCGTGGTCAAAGCATTTCGATTCGTGAGGTGCATTCAAAATTTTCGAACCTTCCGCAGGCCGAGATAGTCTCAAAAATGTGAAAATTTCTTTATTTTTTTTATAAGAAGAAATACCAGTGCTGTTTTAATGTTAAATTTAAACACTAATAAAACTAATTTCATAATTTCTTCTATCTTTCTCTCTTTTTTCTCTGAAAACGTCGCGGACCGTAGGTTGGCCTGTTATAGAACAATTTACTTCTGCACTCTTCGTGAACTTGAGTAGAACAAAATTCATCTAAAGAAAAAGTCGGATAAAATATTTTCAAGACAGAAAGCTGAAAGCTAAAATGTCCCGCGACTCAAAGAGCCTCTCGTCGTATTGAAAATATTTTATCCGAATTTGTCTTTAACTGAGCGAAATAGCCCCGCTCTATTCTACTCAGACTAATTCGAAATAATGTAGACGACCTTGATGCTTGGCGATCGCGCTGAGAGACGAGGGCGAACGATGGGTAATGAACGCCCACAGGCGCTTATCCCGCAATTCCATTCTATTCCTATCCACGCGATTCAGCATTTTCGCGGGCGGCTTGAGTCATTCGTATATACGGGCGAAATTCCAGAAAAAGACGTCGACGACAGAGGGGGAATGACGTAGCCCAACCACCCACCTGTCGACGACGGCAAGCCATACGCTATTTTCAGAATGCGCTTCGTACACGTAATTTTGTTAATGCACGCGCGAATTTGGCCACGGAATTCGCTCGCGACCGACTTACACGCTTTCAAATTTCTATTGCAAGCCACCGGTATAAAAGAATCGACACCACAAAAAATCAATCAACTGTATACAATGTGTGTGTTATATTCAGGGTGAGTTTTATTTCGCGAACCAGTCTTTTACCATGAAAAGTGGATTACCGACCGAAATTGTAGCCAACCCAGCAAAAAATGGAAAAATTTTGTTACATGTTTCAATCACGAAATATCTAATTGCATTTTGAAAGATGTAATTATAAATTTGTCCCGAGTTGGCTATAGTTTCGATCGGTAATCCATTTCTCGTGGTAAGAAACAGGTTCACGCAATAAAACACCCTGTATACGGGGTGTCTCGTAGTTCTTTTCTGAAATTTTTTGCGGAAGTAGAACGGATTAAAGTGAATAAAAAAAAAGTTCCATACCGTATTGTAATATTTGCAATAATAATTTAGATGTGGAATATTAAAGTCGGGCAAATAAGAGCGCGCCGAGACGGCACGAGGGAAGTGCTGAAGCCGCTCTGGCAGGGTGAATTATTAAGGCTGTCCCAACCTTTTATCATGAGAGATGGATTACCGACTGCAACTGTAGCCAATTCTGGAAAAAATGGGAAAATTCTCGTTATATACGTTTCAATCATGTAAAATCTAATTATATCTCTCAAGATACAATTAGGTTTTACACGATTGAAACATACATAACGAGATTTTTCCATTTTTTCCCGGATTGGCTACAGTTTCGGTTAAAGGAGGATAGTTTTAATGATTCACCCTGTATGGCATTTCCTTATTTCGTTAAATTTTAAAAGTAATTAATAATCTGTCAACAATATTCAAACAACGGTTTCCTAACTTCAGAAAATCTCTTATTATCAATCGAAAAACTGTGGCAAATCAAGGAAAAAATTCCAAATGAAAATCAATTTTAATCTTTATCGCATTGTCACGCGATAAAGATAAAAGTTTGTACGATAAAATTGATGACAATATAATAGAATAAATCACTTACGAAATGTTAATCGTACTGGACTTCGTTATCTTATCTTACAACTTGCTTCTTCAAGAAATCTTTTTTCCTTCCATTGCCGCTCGGTACTTGAAAATATAAAGTTAAGAAAAGTCCCAAACATATTGGCGGAAGAGTTAAATATTAATTACTCAATATACTTAAAAAACTGTTGTTGAGTAATGAGTGCGCAGGATTAGTCAGAGACGAAAATAAAGATATTCTACCGGTCTACCGTTTCTTTTGTCTTCATTATTGACATAAAATTGAGAAAAGTGTCAAATATATTAGCAGAAGAGTTAATTGCTCAATATATTCACAAAAACGTTGTTGAGTAATGAATGCGCAGGATTATTCGGAGACGAAAATGAAGATATTCTACAGGTCTACCATTTCTTGCGTCTTCATTACTATCACCCCAAGGAAAAGAGTGATTGATGCACGGCTGTCATGAAAAAGATCGATGCGTAATCTGTCTTTGTTCGAGCGATTGTGACAATTCGAAGGCCAGAGCTCAGCGATGAGGGCAACACAAAGCAGAAGAGAAGATTGCAGATATCATTGTCTTAAATAAAATTACTACCGCGTCGGGCAATATTTCTCCTTTATCGCAGGAAGTGCATTATTGCGACAGTGCGGCAATACGTCTCTCGCCGTAATCGAAACGTAAAAATTGCGCACATAAATTGCGATTTTTCGAAGATACCCGGCGCGGCGCGCACACTCCGTCCCGCGGCGGCGTCTTTATTGCGAGACGTTTTCAAGCTGTCACCGGGCGAGAAAGACGCCGTAGCTTTCGATCGAATGACAAGCGCGGGACCTTCCTGCGATCGCGAAATATGACTTTCGGCGATGTTTACGACCGCGTCGAACGCCGGATATCCCGCCACTATTTCGAACGCTAAAAATACCGCGCGCACGGCGCACCTTTTCCCAATCTACTAACGTAACAACGGAGATATTCCGTCTTGACATTGTTCAGATTTTCGCGGATGCAGCTTCCTTTTCCCCCTCCCAAACGTCTGTTCGATCCACAGACATCTACATAGTAGCATAGTGTATTGGCTAAACATTGGCTAATTATTGGTCCAATGTTATATAGAAATGCATTGACCGTCCAACGTAAAGCTAATATTAGGCCATGAAGTAAATATAAATATTGCACGATAATTATATAATATTAGATTTATATTGCAAGTGCATTGGTCAATATTTAATAATGCAATAAGAATATTGGTTTAATGTTGATACAATATTAGACCAATATTGCTAAATAGATATATTGGCTAAGTAAGAGAAGGCGTCCATTTTACAACATTGGAACCAATATTGGAAATACTAGATTTACATTATTTCCCAATATTGCGCCAATATATTGGGCTACCTTTGAGCAGAAAAGTTCGCCATGTCTTCTTAGGTAAATAATGTCACTGATGCACATATTTTACTTTATTTACCTAACAACACATGGCGGAACTTTTGCTTCACTTTTCAGCTCGAAGGTAGTGGTCTAGTAGTAGAGAAAGTCCTCTATTATGGGATAGGGTCCTAATATGAGACAGCGGGGTTTCTGCTAAATTAATAGACATCATCTGTTGATTCCACCATAATTTTTTGTGCTCTTGGAGTAAAGTCTGTCTAGTGGAAAATTGATTGTTAGATCGTGTAATCGTAGCGAAAAAAGATCTGTGATTGAATTTGGACGTTGAAAACCTACTGTCTCTTATTAGAATCCTATCTCATAATAGAGAACCTTACTCTATATAGAAGTCTGTGGTCCGATCGATTAGCGAATATGCGAGTCGAGAAGACTCAAAGGACGTACGTCCCAGTTCTCGGCCTTCTCGAGGGATTGCTCGTAAAACTGTTCCGCGAATTAAATGCCGCGCGAGGTGACGTTCCTCGCTTTCGTTTAGCGGCGTCTCGCGACGCCGGAGCGTTCGTTTCAACATGCGCTCGCATGTGAGATAACACAAGGTGCCTTGCCAACTAGCATGTGGGATTATATATATCGATACGTGAATCACAAAACTGCGATATAGACGACGCGGTTGCGCAAACATTTTATTTATATAAGTCGATTTAGATTACAAGCCTTAATGATGCGCAGTGCGCGACACAAAATTATTGATCATTAGAGTAGAAATGAATTTCTGAAAATTGAATAAGATCCGCGCCAGGTTGGAAAATAGATTAACGCGGCTGTAATTTATTAGGGAAAAAGTTATTTTCGAAAACTGGATACGGCTGGATATAAACAGCGTCACAAATGATGAAACTTCTTTCATGGATATATTCGGTCGAGAAATATTTCTGTTCCACGTTTTGGATTAATCTGCAACGCGTAGAGCCCGTATCAGACTACGGATTGAGATTTGACCAATCAGAGTAAAGTTTACCAATCCCAAGTTTAGTGGTTTTTACTCTGACTGGTCAAATTTCAATCTAATCTCAATTTCAATCCGTAGTTTGATACGGGCTTTAAAGCCTGTGTCCACTATGCTATTCCATAAGAGCTGCAAGTTGACTGGCTACACATTTCTCGGAACTAGAACTTGGACCAAGTAATAACCGGTAATAAAACAATTTACTGGTTTCTTAGTGGATGATGCACGCACATCGCAAGATTGCGCGATCGACGCGCGACGTGGAATGCGACGGGCGTAAACGGAAAAACGCAGGAACCCGGGGTGTCCGTTTGCCCTTTGAAGCAGGCAATGCCCGTGGTTTATTCTTAGGTGTCTTTATCGGTCGCCGTCTATTTATAGAAAAACAGACTATCAATCAAAACATCGCGGTTCGACGAAACTATGGTAGACGATCAGCTGACCGGAAACGAAATTTCTCTGAACTTCGAACCGACGACCTTTGATTACTGCTAATCTTATCCCAGCAATAAATCGAATGAGCATTTCGTTATATCCTAATTTTTCCAAATTTTACTGTACGGCGATCGTAACGTTAACAATATTGCGAAACCCAATAATAACTTTTTAAATGTTCTTTCGTATTTATTTAAATTAATCTTTTTACTCATATAAATAAATATTAATACAACGGAAAAGGGACTTTACAATATCTTTTTATTTCTTTCCGCAATTGCGACTAAAAAAGATGTAACATTTAAAAACGCTTCTTTTATAACTTATATGTGTATATAAAAATTCCGAAATATCGCTTGAATATACTAATTATGAAACTAAATTAAGTTTCAGAAAAATGGCTACGTCGTTTTGGAGGATTTCTTTCAACCGAAAGAGATCGAAGAATTGAGAGCTTCCGGAGAGGAATTTACAAATAAATTGCCACCTGAGTCGGAACGAAAAATATTCAATACAATACAGTTACAACAGGTAACATGAATATAACCAATTGTGAAACTTAAAAACATATAAAATATATTAATTCGACGATTCAGAATCGGTCAGAAATGATTTTTTACTTATCAATACTTAAACGATTTTTATCAGAGCAGACAGATATACGCAATGAATAAATGTTGTACAACGAGAAACTATACTTTCGTTAATCTCGAGATAATTCTCTGTGAATGTTATATTAATAAAACTTAACACTAATGAAAGTAACAGTTGTATTATCTTGTTTCAGAATAAGGATAAGTATTTTTTGGATAGCGCTAATAAAATAAGTGTTTTCTTTGAAACTGAAGCTTTGGAAGAAGACGGAAAGTTGAAGGTTCATCCAAGAGTCTCGTTAAACAAAGTAAACTATCTCAAAAGAGCCATACCTTTAAGTTAAATCAATTCCCACGAAAGTATTTTGAAACAATTTCAGTTATTTTACGATGACTTTATAACTTCCAGGTGGGTCACGCTCTTCATTGGTTACATCCCACTTTCAGAAAGTACACGTTCGACGAGAGAGTCAAAGAAGTTGCTTTCCAATTAGACTATGAGGAACCAGCTGTGTGTCAGTCAATGTACATTTACAAAAATCCCGGAATAGGCTCGGAAGGTAATTGAATAATTCTCGTATTTATATATTTACATATTTATGACTTAATGCATATGACATTTATCATTGAATTGAAATAAAATCTTATGTAATATAAAACAACTATATTATATGGATATTATATAATACAGAATAACCACTGTAATATTATGTTTAATACAAGAATTTTTATTTTGTTACAGTTGTGATGCATCAGGACGCATCGTATTTATACGTCGAACCGGTGAAACTCGTTGGTTTCTGGATCGCGTTGGAGGATGCAACACTTGAGAACGGGTGCCTATGGATTGCCCCAGGTTCACATCAGAGCGGAGTGCATAGGCGTTTTGTTAGAAACAAAGATCCAAATTCTCAAGAGTTACTAACTTTCGACAGAGCAGCGCCTTGCTACCAGTTAAGTAATTTCAGACCAGTACCAGTACGCAAAGGAACCTGCATTCTTATCCACGGACAAGTGGTCCACTTTTCTTATCCAAACAAGAGTGAAACGTCGAGACACGCTTACACTTTTCACGTGATAGAGACAAAACATGTATCTTACTCGAAGGAAAATTGGCTACAACCACCCACTGATGGTTTTGCGAATCTTTATAGAAATTAAGTGTATCGTATTAATTGTGTAAAAAATTATCATTCACTGTTTATTGTTTTGTAATATTTTGTTAATATATTAAATAAACTAAATGTATATTCATTTTTATTAATATTTATATGTCCTCTAATATACACCAAAGATATAAATTACACAATTATTAGATAACTATATATGAGCAGCTAGTGCACAGAAATGCGAAGTTAATTCTTGTAACTGCTTTAGTCCAGTTTTCAGGGCTTCTTCTTTTAATTTGACACAATAATATATATCCAAAGGTGTAACGTCAAAAGTTATTGCCTGCGTGTCAGGCAAAAATGTATTTAAATTTTGCTGTAAACTAAGCAACGTTTGATATTTCATGACATCTTCAGCCTGTGCCAGTAACCTGATTACAAAAAATATTGCATAAATATACATGTAATATGATATAAAATAACTTGACTAATACACTACACATATATTATCATTATTAATAGATTGACACCATCACCCAAAATGATTTTTGCATCCTAGCAGTGAGGAAATAAAGCTCAATTACAAAGCGTTTTCTATGGATCAAGAATTCTCTCTCATATCTATTTTTAAATTTCTTTCTATCTCTTCTAGAAAATCTTGAGTAAATCTATATTCATAATCTTAAATACTAATAAACCATACAACAATCAATAATGTATAATATATATCACTGTATAATTTAACAGGGATGTAAAAAATCTCAGGTAATTGCTTACACAAGAAATACTAAGTTACTACCCTTGGGCTTAGAAATAACTTACTCATTCAGATTCTGTGTCAGATCAATTACTTTTTTGGTAATTTCTGATTGCAAGCGTTGTATACACACTTGTGACAATGCTGGGTTGACAGGAGTTTCGAAGGCAAAGGAATATGCCATTCCCGCATTGTTACATGCCAAACCACTGTTACAAAATAAAAATGAAATAATATCTAATTACAAAGATAGAAATAGTAATGTTCCACTTATTAATACATATCACATTTGCATTATATACATCCTCATTAATAACAATAATTTTTTTGCATGTATCTATAGGTGCGTATAAAATTATATATGTATATACATATATGTGTGTGTGTATGAGAGAAATCTCACCATATGTCACGTGCATAATTATAGATATACTGGAAGCATTGGAACACCTTTCCCGCTCTCGTTTCTTGTTCTTCGGCATCATTTGCAATGCCTATTTTATTGTGTAATTTTTTCAGATTTATGCCAGTGATGTATCTCTTATACTTCTCCTTGAGTTCCTGAAAGTATAAATTTTTTACCTCCTTTCCACAATAACAAAGTGTTTAAACATTTAAATAATAAGATATATTACTGTAATAGCATTAAACGTTTTGGTCGTGAGATCACGGTATTTATTCATATCAGCGATTTGTACCAAGGTGCTACTCTTCTCTATAATATATTCAACATCTTGCAATTTTCTGCCACCAACTGAAAGAAACATCAAGGTTCAGGTTGCAGAATATAGTTTTACAAGCTTTAATAGGTTACGCAAGTGTAAGTATACCTGGTATATGTACAAAAGCTTCAAGCAATTCTTTTAGGAGATATTCAGCGCGTCTTTCGAACGATTCATTAATAGCAGCAATCCAATGCTTTATAGCACATTTTAATGCCGTTACCGTAGTCCAAGGTGGTTTTATTATGACATATATTTTCCACTCTGCTTCTCCAAAAATCTGTGACATTTGCTTCACGATTATCTGAAATAAAAATATTCGTTTGACACGTAAGCCCGTGAAAATTGATATTTTATAATCTAATGCAGGATGCGTACCGCTGACAGAAAGTTTTTCATAATCAATTTTATGTCCTCAAAAACATCATCCGTTAAACGCAATTCTTCGTGAAAGACAGAATTTTCAACGGAATCACCATTCAAAGGATTGATTATTTTATTCTCCGATTCAAAATTTTCTATTTTTTCAAGCGGATCATGACGCCCCAATGCCAGTATATTATATATCATTGCTTTAGTGCAGAGATTTTTGTCATAAGATAACAAAACCTATAAATATAAAATAGAAATAACACTTTTATTCGTTAATATGTAATACTGTAGGGTGTAACAGAAGGTTAACTTGCCACTGATTTTTTTAATTGCTGAATCTGTAGGCAGCACTGAAGGATCTCATCATCTGGACAATTGAGAGAAAAATCCTCCTTATTTTTCGTTGCCTGTTCTCGTGTTTGTCCTATGACACGTGGATGCTTCGATGAGAACTGATCGTGAATGAAAGATATAGCTTGTCTAGCCTTTGCTGACAACTCATGTTTAGATTTATTATCCTTGAAATAGTCTAACTCCTGCAGAAATTGTTAAAAAAAGAAATGCATGTTAAATATGGAAATGCAAGAGAATTATCTGATACACTGTACATTGTACTTACACATATCACAGTCCATGGGATTACAATGAAAGGACGTGGATAATTCTTGAAGGTTGTGTCTCTTGCCCTTTCAATAACTTCTAGATTTGATAGAAACACATTTGTGTCGACAACAATGTACAGTGGACTTTTTTCATGTGATTCTATCTCGTTGGGTTGTGTCAACTCTACGATATTTTCTGACATGTAGTTGATTTCCACACGAGTGTCTTTATCAAGTTGAGTTCTCACAACTTCCACCTACGTAAAAAAAAATATGATATATATTTTAAATATTAATTTTATTTACAATAACTTTCATGCAAAATGAAGATGTTTAGTATTGGAAGAAGATACACGATTACAACGGCCAAACACATTCATAATATGAATTTAGTCTACAATATAAATCGTTATAATCATTGAATCAAATTAATTAGTAACACTAGTACCTCTAACGCAATTTCTTCATCCTTCATCGGCTCCCAATCCATTTCTTCATACAGAACTTCCTGAGCAGTCTGTTCTATTATCTTGTCTCTTGTCATATTTTGAGTAACCGGTGCATTACCTTTTTGCTGTACATTACTTTGCGACTTACTGTCGCTTAATGTAACATTTCTTTTGTGCACTACCTCTTTCAACACTTTGTTATGCAATCTTTTAAGTCGTGCATTATCAACACTTTTATAAACACGTGTCGATTCCAAGTTGTCGTTATCTGTAAACACAAAGCAGAGTGAATTAAGTAAATGTCTCGAAACTTTATTATTATAGAAGATTAAAAAATATTGGATATAAAATTTTATGTGCCTACCGGACGAAGTAGGTAAACATCCGCTGAACTTTTGTGAAGTTTTCTTGATGACTAAATCGGAATGGCACATTTCCTTAAATTTTTCCTGATCGATACTCAAATTTCTTCTTATTCTTTGCATACGGTCTTTCGCCAGATTTTTCCTTGATGCTTTTCTCTGTCTCCCTCCTAAACGCAGAATTAATTATAACTCAGTACAGTACAAAATAATACGTTACTTAAATAGAAATCTAAACAAGTGCACTTACTTGGAACATTTTGACTGTGCGATTCCTGAACATTTTGATTCTTGTTATGCTGCGAGATATCACGTTTATTCCGAACAAGACTCTCTTGGTGTTCTGCATTTCTCTCTTGTTTCTCCCATGTCCTCTGTAACCTCTGACTTGTGACATTCCGATCTTGTTGCGTGTTTCTAGTATCGTCCTTTGTTACTTTGCTTGAAGACGCTCTGGAAATTCTCTGCTCAATCTTTGTGTAAAGGACTTGCATCTGTGGCGTGCACGTTACTTTATTATCATTCTGGTCCCGAGATGTTACTGACTTATTATTATCTCTAGACTTTGGAGAAAAACTCCTCCTTCTTGAAGAAAAACCCTGTTTCTTCTGTTCCACTGTTGTTGCGTGCGAGGCTTTTGAGGACGAGGCAGAAGCATTCTTGGTGTCTAATCTCTGCAGCATCTTTGCTCTAAGAGCCTTCATTTGCGGGGTCTCTACGAGTCTATCACATGGACACTGACGGGACGTTTTCTCTTTCTCAGCATTGTACTCGGGTGTTGTTGCACCACGATGATTCTCCTCGCGAACTTTATACCTATTTGCCGAAGGTGTCTGCACAACAAATGTTTTAGAAATAGAATAAGGAATAAATATAATATAAGTAACGTACCTTGTCGGCCTTATCCACCGTTGGCTGAATCCACGAAGATTGATTTGTTCTCACATTGAAGTAATACACTCTATCCGGATGGCTTTTAGAAGTGACAGCAATCCAATCCTTTGGCAATTTACGTTTAAACATGATTGATGAGTATTAAGATATGTGTGGCAATTAAGAGATTGAATAAGGGAGCTTTCCTCTTCTCGATAGCTCCCAGCCAAATGTCCTGGTCAACCGGCCGTTCGATCGTATATATAAGTAGTCCTTTAATTTGATCCTTACAAAACAAAACTGCGAAGAGAGACAGCTGTTTACTGTGATGACGTCAAGTACCTCCTATAGTAATCTCCATGAATCTTAGGCTCGATTCACATGGAGCGTAACTTGCGTAGCGTAACCTGCGTATCACCAATCACAGGGTCATTCTGATAGAACCGTTTCAATAATTCCGTTGAAATAGTTGTGTGATTATTACAGTTCTGAACGCAACCAAGGTTGTTCGACCGTGCACGATAAGTTTCGGAACGCTATCTATTATGTCCGAAATGATAGCTTCTGCTCACAGAATACTCTCGTATGTATTATCCCACGGATATTTGTATGTATCGTTCCTTTGCTCTAATAATGCGTCATTCCATACATCCGTGAGAGAAAGCTGTAACCTTTCGTATGATAGACTGCGTTCCGAAACCTGTCATAAAAAGTCGGGCAATCTTTCCGACTACGACTGTACGCGGGTGGCGTTTCCGAACGCATCGCAATGAGAGGTGAATTAGGTTATGTCGTGCTGAGGTTTCATTGTTTATCCAAACAGTAATGTTGGTCATAACATTTTATTATTAATTAATTCTACCCATCTCTCTCTTTCTGTCTCTGTAATTTAGAGAGCAAATGGAGAAAAAACCGAAAATTATCGTCTTTGACTTAGGTACAGGTAAAACCGTTCAAGTTATATACAATTTTAGACTTATGATAAACTTACAATACCATTCTCTTCTTTCTGTTGCAATGAGAACTATTCAAGAGGTAATTTTTGGAAAAATGGCAAGAGTATTATATTTCAGATTACACTTTATGGCCATTTTGGGTTGATACTCATGTAGATCCACCGTTTAGGAAAGGGTGCGTGTATTAAAAATGAACAAAGTAATGTATGTTAAGAATTTCAACAGACTTAAGGTGGAAAATTTTTAGAGCACAAAATAAAGTGGTAGATTCACATGGCCATACCGTACGCTATTACTCCGATGTACCTGATGTGTTGAAACAGTTATCCGGAGAAGGATACGAACTTGGTGTGGCATCGCGCACATCGGAAATAAAGGGAGCTAAACAATTATTAGATTTATTCGGCTGGAAGAGATATTTCCAATATGTTGAGATATTTCCCGGTAGTAAGGTCACACATTTTTCTAAGTGAGTCCCGTGAAAGGCAGAAAAGTTCTGTTGCACAATAGCTTGAAGCTGTGTCTTATTTCAAGTGCTTTCAGCATTCGGAAAAGTTCTCACGCTGATTACAAAGATATGCTGTTCTTCGACGATGAGGCCAGAAATATCGTGGAAGTCGGTAAACTTGGGGTACACGCTGTATTAGTTAGAGATGGCGTGAGTCGTCGTGTTGTAGAAGATACTCTGCGATCATTCGGCAAGCAATGATTGTTTCAATATTAGTATAATTGATCAATGTTAAGTGTTTTAGGCCCTGACCAGGATTGGGAAGCAAGTCGTTACTTGTAACGAAGTTACAGTTACTTCTTTTGGTAACTGTAACTTAACTTTGTTACTTTCTCTCCGTCTGTAACTGTAACTTAACTTATGTTACATTAATAGTTACTTTATATATTTTTTAAACTTGCACAGATTGCATTAGGCCTTGCATTTGCGCATACACGTCTTTACCGACGCTTTAAAATGCGGATTAGATATTTTCATCGCAAGAAAGTAACTGCAAAGTAACGATTCGTTACTTTTCATAATTGGTAACTTGTGACTGCATCTAGTTACATTTTTAGCGAAAAAAACTGTAGCTAGATACATTTATTAAGTATCTTTCCCTAGTTCTGACAATTACTATAAATGAAGGGTTTAAGAGCCGTGACAAGGTGTTAGTGTCAAAAATAATGTATTATAAAAATAAAACATTGTTAGTTTACAACTTTCTGTCTTGTAATATACACGAATTAAGCAGTGAAAAGTGCTGACAAGATTACTTTTCAATGGGAAATTAAAGTCGATATTAGTCAATCATTCTTTGATAGTATTGTACCGGACTCTTTATGACGACGTCGTGCGACACGTCGTCTTTGCGTACGAGTTTGAGAAATGCAGTGCAGAGAACTTCCGGATCTTTAACGGATATGCTATTTAGAAATTTCTCTATTTCGTCTTCGGTTAATGAAGCGCGTAAAAGATTTCTGAGTGCAGTCGTATCAAAATCCTTGAAAGGGCAACCACCCTCGTACGTTGCTCCACTAATACCAGTCTGCAACAGATTCGACATTTGAAAAAGTAGCTCAAATAATAAAATTTGTACAGATTACAAGAGGATTTTTGTATGTGAAAAAATGATTATATACTTACGCAGATGAGATTGCAGTCAGGTGTCTTATAATTTCTCCGCGATCCCTCTAAACCGTACATATGTCTGATGCTGTAGATGAATTTCTTTTCGTTGGACTGCCAATTATGTGAGCATACCGAGGTACAAGTATGTGGCTTGGAATATTCTTGCCTCCAAAATGTAACGGAATCTTCCAAGCTCATTCCTATTTCTTTCAAAAAGAGGCTGTAGTACAGGCGTGCGTAGTGACTGAGACGGTGCCTACTCCTCAGTAGAGAGTGCAAATGTTGCATGCACAACGGGAATTTCCGTGCCTCCGACTCTATGTTATCGGTGGTTACTTTTCCATGAGCGACGCCTTCCTTGAAGAGATAAGATTGAACTTTCTGACTTAAAATGTGGAATCTAAGATCATGTTCCTTAGTATGCTGCGCCTGTCTCCTCATGAGACTCATTTCGCTAGTTACATAATTACTAAATAATGATCCAAGTACTTTCTTCCAATTTGAACAGTACGTGATAATATTTCCATTATTAAGGACTAGTTCTCTCTCTTTTACCAAGTCTGGTACTATCTCGAATCTCACTGAAATGTCAAGAAATGTTAGCAAATCAATAAAATTGTGGTATACACCAATTCGAAGGAATAAAGAGCCGTGACAGGATATGTTAGTGTCTACACATTTCTTATTTTCAAATTTATTGCGAAAAGTATTAGCTTATTTGAGAATTTCTCATATACAAATGCTATTCTGAACTTGTACCTTTATATCGAAAGTCACTGCAATTGTAACAATTTGACACCAGATGTTTAAACACCAAGGGCTGCGAATAAAATTTGCACAACTCAATCAGAGTTGTGTCGATTGCACTTTTCTTGTCTTTAAACACTTGCAGTTTCCAGATAATTTGCTTCAATAACTTATGCAATTGTCTAGGCGATACATTATCTAATCTATGCTTAAATAACAATGATTCTTTGGTTATCCAATACATATGTAAATCTGACGATGTGGAAGCTAATAATCTAAAATGGAAAATAGTGATCGTTAATGAAGCAGAATAGATTCTTATAAGTTTAATTCCTTTAGCACACGATTGTTTTCATTATGTGTTACTCATTCTCTTTGAAACACTCCAGTCATGTTGTATTTAATTGTACAAATGTATGACACGTACTTACCGTAACGCAAAATGTCCGATTCTATCGTAAATAGAATTCTCTAGTAAATACTCAAACTTTCCATCGAATTTGTCAGCAGATCCTTCACTTAGAAGCCTTAAATAATCTAATCTGGTCAAAATACATTCTTCCAAAATATGAAATAGTATTTCACCATTCGGTGGTATAATATAAAACATGTCTATGTCTACGTCAATCATATCGGATAACTTGACGTTTTATTACACAGCATTTATAAAAGTGCTCCAAATTTGTGAGAATTTTGTAAATGGAATGATTTTTCTTTTGGAGCAGGGACGTGTGAGACAGCTTTACTCTTTCTCTTTTCATGGATCTACGAATAATCTCGTTTTTGCAAGCATTTCGTATATTCACTCTCTCGTCTTGTACACGTGCATTGTGTATGCGACAGCATCTTCATTCAGTTTTTATCGTATTCTTCATTCACTTGTATATTGTTCATCATTTTCCTACAAGGAAGTTCACATCCATTTCTATAATTCATATGATATTCCCAAGATTACCAATTCTTCAGTTTATTATAGTAAATAAACAGATTTTTGAGCACCACATAATTGATATGTGTGATGACAGTCTCGCATTCGCTCACACAAGCACTGAGTGAATAATAATTAATATTATTACAAATCTGCTAGCCGTAAGATGCCGCACGAGACTGTGCTCCGATATTTACTGCCCCGGTATGTGTGCATACCCGTGAAACCGAACACACCTCATATATTAAGCGTATTCGTGCAATACGAACAGACCTGTGATTACACGAGATAGGTTCGCTGCATCATCTTGTCATTGCAAGATCAATGCTTGAAAGCTCGCAGCCTGATTGGCCGCTACTTTCACGTTTGAAAGTTGCGAATCTAGTTAACGTACAGTTGGACGCGGAGAAAACGTCGGTCGGGCGCGAGAATCCGCTCCGCGTTTCCGTCGATTTCGGCTCGCCGAGAGGACGAGCCCCGTGTCCGGGGTGTCGTGAGTGAGTGGCGCGTTCGCAAGCTCGTTTGTGGCGCTCAAGCAGCCGCCGGGAAATCTCGGTCGTCGTGAGTGAGCCATAGTCGCGAGTTCGGAAGTTCGGTTGTCGCGTCTCGCGTGCCTCAAACCGCCGAAAAAGTCGCGAGTGTCCGGACTACAACGCGCGTTAACTGTCGACCGATTTATCCCGTATGTCGCGAGAGTGAATTTCATCCGTCGCGAGTGTTAAGTCGCCGATGCGGCTTACTGTGTGTAACATCAAGTGTGTGATATCGTATACAATGCGATATATGTGACAGTGCATATTCTATTGTCAAGTGTTAAGTGAGTTGTGACCAATTGGGATTACTTCGCGGGAGCAACTCAACAACCGATTCAACGAGGGACCACATGACGGAGTCACATGACGCCGGCGACGCCATAACGATTATCGATCGGTCATCGTGGGATCCGCCGTCGCAAGGTAAGTGCTCCAATTGTTGCAATACCGACGACGCGACACTTATCTATTGCGGGTGGTGGCTCATAACCCCCTCGAGCGGCAATAGATTTCGTGCCGGGGCATAGGATATCGCGTTTAAACTAGGAAATCAGTAATTTTCGGGACTTGCGGTCTTTTTGCGCCAACACGCTACGAAAGCAACACGGCGTGTTGAAGAATTTAGCGGTTGCGGTGCTGCCGAATGTTTAATCTATGATGACTGATAAATGCTCTATTCTTTTCAATATATATGTATCCCATATTTCAGTACATGTAAAAACATGCATCTACAATACATGTATGTACTATAAGTCCATAGTAAAATTATTAAGCTCAAAGAAACTGTACAGTTGTTCTTGCTATGTTTTCAAAGCAACGCGAATAAACGTTTCCGGTATTTGACTGAATATGGCGGTCCAACGTGCGTGGCTTAAAAATCTAACGCCCTCTCGACAGATATTGCAGAGGAGGAAGCGCGAAACCAGAACGCGCGAGCAGCGAATGATAAAAGAAGAGACTCAAATAGAAAATAAAATGAGGAAATGCGAAAAATGTGGAAAAATTGCGATTTATTTGCAGACAAAAAATTGTTATTTAAACAGCAAGCATTCTATTTTAGCGCGATTATCGATTGCCGTACGAATCAGCGAGGTAGAGCAACCAAGAGCGAAACAAAAGAGAGTTTGCGGGATATGATGTAGGACTCGCATGAAATAAATGATATAACTTGGACTTTCCAATACAAATAGATTTTATCGTTGTGCTTCATGATTAATGGATAATGGAACTTACAAGTTGTATATTGTTCTTTAATGATATACACGTGTTAATTATATAAATGATGTGTTCCGGTCTACGGCGCGCAAAAGTTTGCGATCTCGGTGGAATTTGCTCGCACCTCTATAGGCAGCGATGTTAATCGGGTGAACTTTTGTGGGAAATTGAAATTGATAACTTGCTTGAAAGGTCACCGATCGCATCGGTATCCGCACCTTTTGTCACCTCTATCTAAGCGAGAAATAGTCAAAGAACAGCACACGTTGCATCTTGCATTTGTTGTTTCAGGGTTACACTTTAATTGTTATAAAGTGTCGTACATGACTAGTTTAGATTCTAGATGTATATGTATATGTATATTTATATACACGGCTACTGAACATGTATACTTTATGATTTGTCCCTTAATTGTCGTCCTTTTAATACAAATAACTCCTAGATCGTTGTACATTGTTATGTTACCGATTCGCGCTTACGCAAAATTTACTTACATCTCTTCGCTCGCTGCCTTACGACTAAATAAAATATAGATGTATTATAAATACCTGTATTTATATATATATATACTTTTTCCCCGTTTATATATAGTTATCTACTTAAATCGAGTTTGTTCAAGCTTTATTACTCATAGACAATCTGCTTGATATTTACAGAGATTAGATACAAAATTATAAACAGTTCTTAGTACAAAATAATTTTATGACTATAACGATCAAGGTTCGATAGCGTAGAGCAGGCATGGGCAACCCAGTGGTCAGTTTCGCTGCGATTCTCCTCTTGTTCGAGACCGGAGAACTTCTTTTTACGTTTCAATCCCGAAAGTTTCATCTTATCGAATAATTTTTTTCTTTTAGGAAGGAAATGTCCAAAACCATAGCACAAAACGTAGTCATAGCCGAGTCGTAATGGCCGTGCGTTGCCCCTGCCTAGATAGAAAATACAACTAGATGAGCTCTCTCCCAGTTTACCCACGATTACCTGTAAATTCCTCGCAATTCCACCATAGAGGTCAACAATAGGATATATCGAAATTATATTTCGCTCATTTATATGAAAGAAAAGTTTCATCCGACTTTTGTATACTAATTTCATTGCCACGATCTTTAATCATAATGATATACCACTTTGTACGATGCAGTTTGAGTTCAAAAGCCAGTTTCTGAAATAATTTCCAAATTAAGCATAACGATATGATCGTATACAATATACGTGAATGCATGTTAATCGTGATATTAATGGATATCGTTACGTCGTCCATCATTAATGGAGTCGTCCGTTTCTGTTCTGAAAACGCGTGGTAAGTGAAAGCATTTTAGTATTCGGCTGTTACGTATAGAAAGCCTGATGTTTCTCCTCGCACTAATAAAACTATATCTGTTTTCGAGACTCAAAGCTGATGATAAAGTGATCGTGCGCCTTAAATTATTATAAAATGTCAATTCTGTTAGTTACAATCGTATTTTAAAAAAGTTGCGATCGGTACTAAATATACACATATTTTCTAAATTCCGAGGCAAGCGTGATTGTCAATCATACGCATTTAAAATGTATATCGAAGAAATCAGCAATGTGTATAGCGAACGATAGGCATTTGGAACTATCGATGTGCAATTAAAGTGATAGCCGAAATCGAGCTTATCGATACATAGAGCTTCCTTGAAAAAAATGAAAGTTCACAACAATCTAGCGTGTTCGTACCTCACAATACCTCGAACAAAATATTTTTACTCGTCCCTGATACCGCAGTTCCGAATATTTACCTCAGTGATGCCGTTGACAGAGCTCGAATTGTCCGCAAAGAATATAATTAATCACCGTTGGAAAAAGGGCACGCTAGGTAGAAGTAAGTTATCTAGGTCGTAATAGCAAATCTTTGCATAGAGAAAGGATTACGCATATTTTTCTTTATCGTCTTGTCTCGTGTTATCCTATTTCACTAATTCACTAAAAATTTCACGCGCAACTTGTAATAAATTTATGAGGAGCAGCTGCATTTATATGACGAAGCCGTCAAATCCTCTAAACGTAGGATTCGTGTGTCCTTCATCGTTCCTTGCAATTATCCTGCGTTCCGAATTTTTACTAATAGAATCGATTACGATAATATCTTTCTATCCCCGCCACCTGCTGATCTATGATGGAAACAAAGTATATTGGGATAATCCTTTCGCCATGAAGATTTTCAAATTGGTAGGTACAGGTAGATACGTAGAAATATACTAAATTATCACATGAGTAGACAAGTAAGTTACTCGTTAGCAGTAAAGGGCAACAATATAGCCAAAGGCAGCGTTATGCTTATATTGGCGAATCTAAACGCAACTACAATTCATTCTCTAGTATCGTCTAGAAATATAATGGCAGTTCTGCTTTGGACTAAAAATGTTATCGACGATAGAGATATTATTGTTTTCAACTCAGTCACAACCGGTCGCGAAAATTCGATTGGCCAAAAATTTCGCGATAGCACGAAATTATACGATCCGATACTCCTTATGCAAAATGTAAATTAGACTTAACGCTCTTAGGCTTAATCGACTGGCTATTACTGACTATGTTCATCTCTGGCAAGATCAAAACCTTGTGTGGTATCGCCTATTTACTGTTACCTCGTAAATTTTAATTACGCGAATTCGTATCGGCGATTCCGCTCCGCGCACACTTTAGACAATCTCGGCCTCGGTGATGTAGAAGCAATTCCAGTTACGTTTAAATTCAACGCGTAAATTTCAACTACATATGGCTATGCCTCCGTACCGTCTCTACTCCTTACGCGGTATTATGTTAATTTATATAAATAGTATTTTAATGATATAACGGTAACATCGCCTCTATCCGCTAAATATCGCATAAGTTATAATATAGTGTCCATCTGGTATATAAATACACGGAACTTAAAGTCAATCGAAATATATCATCGAAGTCGAGTGTAAAGCCAACGACACACGATACTATTTTTCCTACTGGATTGCTTACGAGAGCTAAAACTCTGCATTCTTATTGGTTCTCGTAAGCAATCCAGTAGGAAAAATAGTATTGTGTGCCGTTGGCTTAAGACGCGCAATGGACGTAAAGGCCGAATTAGACTAGCAATTGCTGACTCGGATTGGATTGGGATTGACGATTGTCCTCTAACCAATGAGAGTCGATTAAATCGCTGCTTTGCTCTCATTGGCTAGAAGACAATCGCCACTCCCAATCCAATTCGCGTCGGCAATTGCTAGTCTGGTTCGGCCTTTAGTCCGTCTCTCCCGAGATGTTTAAGGTGTATAATAATGATATTATTACGACTCCTCCGTGTCCTCCGGGCGCGTTTTTCTCTTTTTAAAAATTTACTAATAAAGTACGTACCGATATGTCAAACTTTCGTCAACCTATTTTGTAAACCACTCGCTACGGATAATTTACCGGAAGCTAAACAATTGCCATATGTTTCCACATTGATATCAAATTACAAGCGACCGCGTGATGCTGCCTCAAGGATAATTCGATGTTCGTCCGTCACTCGTGAAAAACGTGACGACGATGCGATCCTTACTACGGTATACGCCTATATATACAATATTCTAATTTCATTGATCCCGCCTATCATATAAAGTTACAATTATGATGTGTCATAGTCATGATACGTTAGTCTATTACCGTCTCTTCCGATGCAGAATAGGTAAAACCTTACCTTTCGTCTACCTTACGCTTATGATATTCGTCTTATTATGACATTAACAAATCCCATTCAAGTTAACTGCGACTGCGGTAGCTATATCGTTCGAATAAACATGTACTATCGAGAAATCCTTACAGCCACTTGACTGTCTCTGAAATTTAGCGTCGCGTACTACGTTTCACGCGGATCTCTGTTTCAGATACGAACCAAAACCAGCGTTAAAAAGACTTGACTTTAACTTCCTCGCCGTCGGGCAATTCGCCGTTTTCGCGATATGTCTTATGACGATAAAGAATTTCGCGATGTAAATCACATGTAGATTCGTCTCACAAATAGTGCCCAGAGTGTCTGGGCGATACGATATACGTTGAAAGAGAGTAAAGGAGAGCGATAAAGAGAAGGGGGGGAAGTAGGCACCCACATGTTCGTTAAACACACTCAGTTACAATGTTTTACGATATTAACTCGAACAGTTGTAGGGTCTGATATCGTAACTGCTATATTGCCGTACGTATCGACGTGACTCACGCAATACGGTTTTTTTTCCCATCGAACCCTTAATCAAAATGACATAATCCCGAGGGAAACCTTAATTATTCTCCTTAAGTAACGACTCTTCCTATTTGCGTAATTGCCTAATTGCGCAGTATAGGTACCCATCCGTGCAGGAATGTTCACAGCTGTGTTACAGTTACATGGTATTGCTCCTAAGTTCCCGACGATTGCGAGAGGCTCTTCCACGGTCTCGCAAACGTCCGCAGTCTCCGCCGAACAACCGCGGAGATTCTCCAGCGAGCGGTCATCCGCGACGGGCCAGTTTTCCATTTATTTCGCCCTCGTCCGATTGTCGGGTTTACGAATCCGCGGTCCGTCTCTGCCCCTTTCTCACGTCCTCGCGAAAGGAAGTCCTGCAGATCTTGGCGCGATACTCCTCCGCGAATACGCGCGGTCGAGATCCAACGCTGTGCCCCGTCCCCAAATCGATAAGATACGCTCGAACAGACTCGCTACTGAGAATTCTACGGAGATCAGTTGCATTCGCGGCACGCGACATCCCGATCTGTTCGTACGACAAATCCAGGGTATCGCGAGGCTCAAAGACTCGAGAGCCGCACTTAACTCTCTTCCCTATTCTAACTTTGTTTCCTGTTCTAATACTCGTTGTCCGAAAAGGAAAGTATATGAACCGTGACGAAATTGAAGGACGATCGATCCCGGCCACAGACTCCAAGTCCCAAAGTCTCGTTTTCGTTGGCGGACAATGAGATTCCATTGTTGTACTTATCATTTCGATGTCGCGATACATAATTTCCCTCCTCTCTCGCCTTCTTTCCTCACTCGACTGTTACTCGCTCGTCCACGTAATTCTTCGGATGAGAACGTTGGCCGTCGTTGCACGCTCACCGTGCCGTTTCAGAAACGAGCTCGTTCCGATTCGCGGTATGACTGTTGAGGATGTCGCGCTCGCTGAGACCCGGGGCTCAATATCAGGACGTTGGAGCGTATCCAAGATTTTTCCGCTGCAGGAAGAGCGATATCTCACGGAAAGTCGGCCTCTCGGCCTCCTCTCGCTGCCAGCACTCGAGCATCAGATCGTAGATGTCCTTGGAGGAGGCGGTGGGCCGCGGCAGGTAATCGAAGCCGTTCCCGGAGTCCTCCTTGCAATTGTCCTCGGTATTGGCGCTGCCGCAGTCAGCGGCATGATGCAGTTGCCGCAGGCTCTGCACCACCTCTTCGTCGGACAGGTGCTCGTACGGGACGCGTCTGCCGAGGTTCAAAATCTCCCAGAGGGTCACCGCGAAAGCCCACACGTCGCTCTTGGTCGTGTACTTGCCCTACAAGTCAGATATAACGTACGTTACTCGGGCATTTCGACCGCGTGTCATCGCGCTTTCAGAATTACAATTTCGACACACACACACATTGCGAAATAGAATTTTTAAATAGAGTTTTTTTAATGAGATAACTTCTTATCTCATTGATGACAGAAAAGTATAAAAACAATTTTTAGATAAAACACGGTTGTAATAATTTCAAGGATAGATTCAACAGTATCTTTGGAGGTTTTTATTTCCAAGTTTTATAAATTATCTGAAGCATGTAGCTAGATTGTTATTTTTGTGGCTCAACAGCGAGAATAACACAGAACATAAAATGTGACACCCAATTTTAGTAAATGTCGTGCTTCAAGAGTCAATACATAAGCATAAAAAATTTGCCATAAATTTTTATAACTGAATAATCGATAGGGTAAAAGCCCTCATTTTGGGGGCTTAAAGCCTCACGTCCACGATGCCAGAAACTGATCCGAGATCTCGATTCAAGAAACGTGTAGCTAATCAATTGCTGCAGCTTTTCTGTAAATTCTGCAAATTATGCGAGTTGATTGGCTACATATTTCTCGGATCGAGATCTCGAACCGATTTCTAGCGTTGTGGACACAAGGCTTAAGAAATATAGTTTTCACCCTAAGTTCTTATTTCTTTTTACTCTCTTTCCAATATCTACTGTAAAATGCCCCGTTCAGAGTCGAGGGGTCGCGACTTACTAAAAATATTGACTCCCAGGCCATCCATCGCACCGGCAACGGCATGGTCCCGTCGACCTTGTAGTAGTCACAGGCGTACAGTTCGTTGTCCGTGCCGAAGTCCGAGATCTTGATATGATAAGCCTTGCCGACCAAGCAGTTTCTGCAGGCAGAATCACGATTGATGTGTAGAGAGCGCGAAATTATTTCATCTGTCATTGCGTCGTGGAGAGATCCGCGTTGCGTTTTACATTCATTTTCGCTAGGCTTTTCGTATAGCTAATCATGATTTGCTAAAAATGTTTTACTGAGTTAACTATCAATTTCTAAAGCACAGCAAATGATTCGCTGTCGCACTTAATACAATAGGCACAGTGGCAAAATATTTTATATCAGCTATCACAGCTAAATATTAGCTGTCCATATTTTACAACTGAAATTTAGTTGCCACATGCAGTTTTTAGCTACGGCAGCTACATCCCCCCCCCCCCCGTGGATTTCGGGAATTAATACGACGTTCGGACTTTAGAAGGCGACTCGAGGATTTCTGGAAACCAAACGGCGAAACCTGTTTCGTCGCAATTCGCGCGCGCTATCGGCCGGATCGAATACTTTTCCGAGCGGTTTGTCCGAAGCGAAAGAGACGCAGTCGGATTGATCCTCCCGCCGCGCCGGGGCAAGTGGGATGCGTAGCTCGCTCGCCGATCTGCATACGCGTTATACGCATTCTGTGCATGGCAGTCAACCGGAAGCGAGAATGGTTGTCTACAACGTAACGTTTGCCCGCACATGCGGTCGAGCGGCATTTCCTGCCCAAATACACACGGGTATGCAATTATACTCGACGCGCGAATGAACTTTCTCCGCGTAGAATTAATCGCGCGGCCCGTCAGCGTGAATCGTTTCCTGTAAGACAGTACAAGAGGAGAGGCTTCGGCATCGAGAATTCATCCGGTATCCGCGAGGAGTTATTGTATTAAATGTAATAATCGTAATATATGGATGTAGTTATTTAATCTCTCCCATCGCGAGCGTCTGATATTTCATCTCATTTGTCCTTTGAGCGGGCGCCACTCCAGCGATAGAGCTCGAGCATTTCCCTGGGGAGAACTTAGAGACGGATAAGCATTCATGCAACTTCCGCTCAAAGCTCCAGACATTGACCAGTTCGCTTTAAAGACGAACTAATCTTCGCTGTCTGAGAGGGAGACGGGCCAAGCGTTATTCGAGTAGCATGGCTATGGAATAGATAGAATCAATTAATTTCGCCGCCGGAACAAAGCTCCAATTTGGCGGCAGGACCTGGTTAATTAGGGGCGCTTTATCGATCATTGCTATTGGCTACTTCGCCATCGGGCTGCTGCGTCGATGGGGCTGACCCCGGGTCCTCCCTATATTGTAGAGTACGACAGTAATGCAATAAGCCGCGTTCACGCCTCTCGCATTGAAGCTGTTGCAGCGTAAATCAGGTGCGATGATCTCTGCTACGCAATCTGACAGTCGGACCTTGGATCGTTCTCATTATCAAAGTTAATAAATCACGACGGTAGGAATCCGAAATCTGTGTAAAACTTATATCCCGTGGAGTTTTAGGTGCGCGATATAGAGGGATATAAGATAGCGGAGTTTCTGCTAAATGAATAGGAATAGGCATCATTTGTTGGTTCCACCATGAATTTATTGCTCCTGGAGTGAAATCTCTGTTGAGTCGAAAATTAATTGTTACATCGTGTAATTGTTGCGAAAAAAGATTTGCGATTGAATTTGGACGTTGAAAACCTACTATCTCATAATAGGGAACTCTCCTCTTTAAATTATTCACTCTCTCTCGATCGGAGCATTGTTGAGCAATGGAAGCAACCATATCCGGATATTAGATAGCAGTGCTTGTTATATATTATATGCAATAGTAATATATTATTTGTAATAGTGATTTCAGTAATCTGTTATATACCACATCATTATAATCGCGATGTTACGGTATAAATTTAATTGATTTTCTGTGATGATTTCCGATACTCACAAAAGGATTTAAAAATATTAATAGACAATTTGTCGATGTATATATAGAAATGTTGCGCATATATTACTCAAATATATGTATATTAATACGTTGAAAAGTACTGCACTCTATGTAAGCCAAACTCATTAATTTCTACTATCTAAATTTTAATAATTCATGAGATTATGAGAGCAATTCATAAGATCAGAGGACAATTATTTTAATCTTCGTTCATTAAACTAGTAATAAAATACAATTAAAATAATGTTAGTTTCTCATCTTGTTGGTTATTAATCTTCTATTTTACGCACTTCTATTTTAAAGGGGATTTTAATATAAAATTATTGAGGACCGAGGATGTTGACGATATTATGGCCGCGCCTGTTACGAAAATGCGAAGAAGCGTAATAAAAGGAGGGTGAAAAAAAGCCGATCCAAAATCAGACTATATAACAAGCACGATGAGAAGCCTTCCTCGCGTCTGTAATCGAAAGCGGAACAAAGGCGGGCTTTCTTGGTAGGAGGCGGAATGTCTACATTCAGCTCGCGACGACTTCTTCGGCGGATAAAGAGAATCACCTCTATCATTGTGCAAGTTGCAAGTCGGAGTTAAACTCGGAATCACTTGGGCATTTGACGCAAGCACGGGCACTATTGTCAATAGGAATAGAAACGTTAAGTGTACTTGGCTGATTGACGCGGTTGTATAATTGAAGTCGAGGTTCCAGCGTATCAACGCTCAAAGTCGGACGCTCGGCTACCCGGAAGTTAGATTGAAAGCTGAATATTGGATACGCGTCGCAAAAAAAGAAACAAACGAACACCATCGGGAGGTTTCTCAGACGAGAAGGTACGGAGGGAAGCCAACGTGGAAGAAAAGCCGTCTTCTTTGAATTTTTAACCGGTTGTTCGAACGCGTAAGCTCTCGTCAGCGGAGAATAAAATTCTTGCATACAGTCTTCGGGTATTCCCGAGGGTGGATAAGGGAGAATCGTAGCCTCCTCCATCGCTCAAAGTTGCATTCTAAATCCAATGTTGGGATCGGCGAGGCCGAATGATTGCATTACGAGTTAAACGCGCAACACTTTAGCATTAAAGTTTGCCTATACTTGCTTCAGAAGAGAAGCGCGCAGCTTCTCGCTGCGAGGGAGAAGATATGAACGAAAGTGTTTTCGAATCTTTCAGCGGAGCGCTCGAGCGATATTTTCCGCGGAAGAGCGGAGCCGTTCGTATCGTATTTTTAAATTGAAGTCTGAAATCGCAAAACTAAAATCCGCGTAATATTTTGAACGCAGGAGTCGATAGTAGAAAAAAAAGTGCCAGACATAATATCGAGTACTATCTACACTTGTTGCCAGAGGGAAAACGAGAGAAAACTTGTCCGGTACATTTGCGATTCAAAATAGGATGAAGGAAATCTCTTTTACCGGAATGCGAAATACCCACATGCGGGAATACAGAATGCGAGGCTTTTGCTATTCCGGCTCCTTTAGAGCGTACGTTTATTCACGGTATGCCCGCGCGCTATCGCCAATCTCCGATGTCGCGCATTAACAGAATAACATTATCAGCCCTTAACGCCTGTGTCCACGACGCCAGAACTTGGTCCAAGTCCTAGTTCCGAGAAATGTGTAGTCAATCAACTTGCAGGCTACACATTTCTCGGTACTAGGACTTGCACCAAGTACTAGGCATCGTACGCTGAACAAAAATATTTTTTAACTAACAACAAGCAAAGAGATTTACTTAAAATTATTTTTTTACTGAAGTAAATATTTATTCTATTTAAATAAAAATATCAAATTTCAAATAAATCTATGTATTATATTAAGCGAATTAATTTAAATCATTACATTTTCTACATTCAAATAAAGATTTCGAGATATAGAATACTATTTATTAAATGAAATAATTGTTTTTGTTAAATAAAAATTCCCATTTTCTTCGCTGTGAAAATTACATCTTAGTAAACATTTTGTAGATTTTTTTAATTAAAAATTGTCTACTCTTTGATATTTAATAAATACTTAAAGAAATGCATGCTTTAATTTGCCTTTTATTATTTTTTAAATTTAAGTTAACAAGCTACTAGGAGCCGCTTAATGAATAATTTTCCTGAGTAAAGTAACATTTTTTTTGGACTAAGATATTTTTTGATCAGTGTGGACAGCAGCCTTTACTGGGTGAGAAATGTGTTATAACGCGCGCAAGCGAGATTTTGCTCTCGTATACAATAGCGATCCTTACCGTTTCTTCTGGTTGGACAAACACTCTCGCGAATCCGCTATCCTCTCCATCTCTAAGGCATCGCATAGAGCCATCGATCTTTTCATTCGTTGGTATTCTTTTTCCGCTGGAGCCAATTGAATTGCATTACCGTTTGATCAGCAATCGATCGCTTCCTTCTTTTTCACTCGGCTCGCCCCCGACAATGACTCTATAGCTACAGCGCACACTCGCCAATGAAATAAGAGGCTACGATGGATTGGCAGTTTGTCGAGGAGTCGGTGGAACATCCTCGGTATACCCGACCGACCGGTTCCGATAACGACTCGAGCTCCTATAGCTCGGGATCTCTCGGCAGGTTCGATTTAAATGAATAAAAATGTTTCGCCTCGCTCTTTCTCCGTTTATCGCGATAGATAAATCGCGCGCAAAGGTCGCTCGATAGAAAGGGCAAAAATGCATTTCGAAAGTATCGCGCGCGCGCGCGCTCGCGCGCCATTGATGCCCGCAATGTCCATTTCTCTTTTGACGCCGCCAGTCAGGAAGAATTTATGCCCCACGGTGGAATTCCCATACGGTCGCGTATTTCACTGAATATCGTCGGTTCGTCACGCTGACGTGTGCCATCAAAGTGGAAGTTCGGCGGTGGTGCCATTAAATTCTGATTAAATTTTGATTAAATCCCGGCGCCTATACAAAAGGCATCGATCTATTTGCAACGCGATCGGATCGTATCCCGCTTTTTTCCTCACAAAAGCGCAGAGAAGGATAACGCGGTTTTGACGAGCGAGCGCGCGGGCCGCTAAAATTTTATAAAACTCCAGCGCGCGGCTTGTTAAAAATTTAAACAAAGGATTATGGCTGCCACGATCGTAGACGTCTGCATTCCGCTTCCTCTTGAATGCTCTTGGAAATTTTGAAATTTGCAACGCCATTAGCATTTTACCGTGAAAATGTGAGCGGCGCAAATTGGATATCTCGTTCCGAACATTAGCGAGCGCGGCACCTCTCGCAATCATCGTACACTAGTTTCAAATTATTATGTTATAATTAGTACGAAATTACAGTGTACATTTCCGTTAACCTAAATAAACATTTGGTCGGTTTAATTGTTGTCGATGATGAAATACGCGAGACAGGGACGACACAAAAGTCCCGGCCATACTTCTCAACGATATTTCTGCAATCGACGGGTCGAATCGTGTCAAAAGCCCTCAGGAATGCTGACAGGGCCCGATATCGTCATAGAAGCTTCGCAGGACGTGTCTCTCGCTATACATTAAGATTTACGAGCCAGCGAGTTTGAGAGACACTGTCCAGCCGGAAACTAGGTCCCACGTGCTACGAGAGCTCGGCGGTTTGCGCGAATATGCGCCCTCGCGTGTATGTGTGTGTGTGTGTGTGTGTGCGCGCACGGAAGATATACATATATGCACATATGTGCATCTAAACGTCCTATCGATTCGGCGAGATGGCCATTGCATTTCAATAACAGCCACGTAGATGGACTTCGTTCCATATACGAGGTGTACTTTGTATTCGTAGATCGATGATTACCGATACCGGTCTGCATACGTTACGTGGCACGTGAAGATCATCATGAAGATTTACTTGCGCAATATCAGAAGCTTGGAAATTAAGTGGAGCTCCCGATTGTTAATCGGTTATTGCGATAAGTTACAAGACCGACAGACAATCGACGCGCAGTTTGCTGATTGTTTGGAAAAAGTACGCGGAGAGAATTTTCTCTTGAAATTTGTTCGTTTTTACGAGCTTCATTTAATCAAATACGAATAATCGTAACGTGCCATTTTTCAGTCAGAACTTGATCTTTGTAGCCTAATAACAATTCTGTGTGAATTTTGTATACACGGGGAGAATTTTCTCTTGAAATGTTTCCTGAAAATCATGTAATCGTGAGACAACGTGGCATTTCGAAGAATTTCGTAGAGAGTTTCTTGAAATTTTACCATATTTGTAATTTAAAATCTATAATATCTACGAAATGCAACGCACATCAACGCGGTATTTTCATTAGTTTTACCAGCGCCGGTGTGTTACTTGTGGTCGATGGAAAATTCAAGGAGAATAATCGGCAAGTTCCTGTATTAAAATTTCATTTACCAGCGCGGCTTCTCAAATATTAACCTCTGTGCTCTTAGTTGAAGGCGCGTTCGGATCAAAACACATAAGAAATGCATGTCTTCCTCTTTTACACAATATCTGCAATCGGCTCTTGCCTGACAATCTCGATTCACGCTTAACGCGTATGAGGCGGGGATCCCTTTAACGCTTGAAAGAAAAATCGACCGCAAACGTGACAAGTATTAGGCCATTACGTCCGGTTTGAGAAAGGTGGCTATTGTGTGCTCCAAGTTGCGCACTCTGGGACCGCACGCTGCCGCGAAGAAAACCCGGAGGAGTCACTTCCGCGAGGTACGCAATATTAGAGGCTGATCCAGGCCACGACGATTGGGCGCGATTGACGTAAAGGAAAATAAATAAAATGAAACGTCGAAATTTTCTGCCGTTCGCAAACTAGCAACTTGCTCTTCTCGCTGCATTCCTCGCGACGATTCGCTAACAAATCGTTGATTTCCCATGCGGATCCCGGCTCCGTTTGTTTTGGGGCTTATGGAAATGCACTGCGGGGGCTGGTATAATTCAATTTCAACCTGAGAGTGTAACAGGGATGGGGAGGGGGGGGGGGAGGATCGATATCGGTGCCCCCGTCCCGTTTTAACGGGCTCTCGACGTGGTAAAATCCTCCCTCTACGTACACGCTCCGAGTACAACCACACGCCGCGAGAACATTTCTGTTAGTTATTAGACTGTGCCAATTAAAGCGGACGGCGCGATCTCGAGCAGGATCGAGCGGGGAGAAAGGGGGGCACATCCGTCCAAGGGTAATCTCGATTCGCGACGATTTAAAGTCGATAGGCACGGACGGGGTAGTCTTGTCGGCCGACGAAGCGAGAAAACGCGAGGGGATGAAAGGGGGAGAGAGAAAACGCGCCTGGGAGGGCGCGAGTGAATTTACGTCGGGGAGATAAATCAAGGGGGCAGCGCAGATCCATTTAGCCCTTCCGCAATAACGTAAAAAACCATGCCGCGACATTCACGCCGCCGCCATGCCTCTTCCGCACGCGGTCCCGCGCGACCGACATTTAAAATTACTTTTCAATAAAAATCGCCGCGGCGGGATGTGCGCCGCGTTTTTCAAAACCCGGTTACCCTCCCCGCAACGGGGATCATCCCCGGCCGCGTTAGGAATTATAAATCCCTCTGCATATTGTTGCCGTCGCGGAAAGCGTTGCAATTTTCCTCGCGTCACGTCGACCGAGAAGATTCCCTTGTAATCTTACATCTCCTCGACGCGCATCGATGCGTTCGCGCGCGCGCGCGAGAGAGAGCTTCATATTCACGTCTGCATTCAACTCTCTGATTCGTTCTCCAATTTCGTTTAATCTAAGGATCGCACGGCGGAGTGTAATAAGATCTTTAGAAATACACGTGCGCACACACAACCTGTATAATACTTTTTAAAATTTTTTGACTGAAATTTTCAGTCGAATCACGGTGTTGTCGACCACTTCACTCCAGTCGAGTGAATATTTACTCCAATAGAGTGAATTAATTCGCTCTGAGACAAAACGTGACGAATTTCACTCTTATTTTTAAAGTGAAGTCATTACACAGAAAAAAAGTCTGAAAAATTTTATTTGTGGCATGTAATGTTTATTTTAGTGAAGTAAACATGATATGCCTCAAATAATGTTTGAGTGAAATAAACATTATATGCCAGAAATAAATTTTTTAAGACTTTTTCTCAGTGTAGCACTCGAAAATTCGCCCCAACGTACGGTATTCCGCTATAACTATGGCCGCTGAACTCGTAAGTAAGATCACGATAGCCCGGCACGTAAGAGACCCCGCCAAGGGCCGGACAGTTCTTTCGCGACAATCAGCAGAGTAAGCGAAACTGTCACATAAAGTATAGATTTTCAGCACTGGCTGCGAATATTAGAATACAGCCTCTGTATGCGATAATCATAGTGAACAAACAATAGCGAAGCTCTCATCCGTGAATTTTATACTGCTAACAACAATCGATTAAAGTAAAACGTAGCACTCTTTTCAGAGTTGAAGCATCAATCCAAGTAGAGAGTGAATAACGGCACTCGTTCAAAAAGTGAAATTGCACTCCAGTCGGACTGGCAGTATTTTCATTATTTCTTCGAGTGAGATCTCACTCCGAAAGAGTGAGATTCCACGCCAAAAAATGTAGAGAGTATGTATAATAATACGAAGATGCAATGTAAGTTTGATTTAGAAAATGATATCATAGAGAATAAGTAATGAGCGCGATCGTTGGTCTATAAGCTCCCATTGCTTAATGCATAAATCGCGTACTATGCAAACTGAGGGCGGGAACCATTAGAGTGTTTAGATACAGAGTGAATACCGGTCGAGGACGATAAAGCCCCGCCCGTATACGCAAGTTTATTCTCGAGAGATGAAAGCGAATCCGCGAGAGATTCGTTTCGGCAAAGTCCCATTGTACTCACCTAGTAGCCAGATCTCGATGAACGAAGTTCAGGTTCTCCAGATACCGCATGCCTGATGCGATCTGCGCCGCCATGTAGATGAGACAGTTGAAACTGAAACGGCGACCAAGTGGCGTGAGTTTCCTGCGACGAAGTTAAGGTATTCGCACCCGAATACGCCCGACCGCCGTCGCCTCGGAGGGATTCTCCTCCGAGGTGTAGGTCGACGAGGATCGGGCGGAGGCTGCGTCAGGGCTGTGCGTCGCTCACGATTAATAAACGCGTCAAACTCTCGCGCGGAGAGAAACTTATTGCGTGTTAACTTCAGCGACGGCGGTTCGTCGGAAATGAAACCGAGCTCCGGTTCGTTAGAGACGATTGCAGCACTTCGGGAGCGACAATCTTGAATACTTCAAGCCTGGTAACAACAGGCGCGTTGCCGTATCTACATACATTACGTGGTGCATTCATATATCTCGGCATTAGCTGTCGTAGACGAGCCATCGAACAACGTCGGGTTAATGACAGGTCAGAATCTCTTTTCGAATTTGTACGGCTGGGTAGCGTAATTAATTATTTTCCAAAAGAAATGCGACACGACGGTCTTGGAGACGATCTCGACGACTCGACTGAACAATATGAATTTCTCTATAATGTTACATTTTTAGAAACTTAAAGAAACATTCCGAGACAGGGAGGGACTTTTTAGGTTTCAAAGTGCACGGAGAGAAATTTCTCTTAAAATTTATCTCTGAAAATCGTGTAATCGTGGGACGGCGTGGCATTTCGGAGAATTTTATGAGGGTTTTTGAAATTTTACCGTACATCTTACTGGTAAAATGTGTATTAAGTATAATTACTAGTAAAATGCGTGATAAAATTTCGAAAAGCTCTCATAAAGTTGTTCAAAATGCCACGTTGTCCCACGATTACATGACTTTCAAGGTACATTTTAAGAGATCATACGTTTCGATCACACAAAGTGATCCTCAATGACAAAAATTCAGTAATATTAAATTTTGCGTTGACTCCTGTTGCCTGTTTCGTTGTTCTTTTCTGATTTTATTATTGGAGTCTGTTAATCTTTCTTAAATTTTAAGAGAACATTCTCTCCGTGTAATTTCTAGCTTTTGTCTTTACAATTTTTACCACGAGTTCCTCCTTAACTAACAATGAGAGAAACAGCTCCGCTCCATCCTATTTTTAACGTTGATATTGGTCAATCTCGATATTCTTTTATTTTCCGCGAGACTTGAGCGGAATATCGGCGGTTTCAGCGTGCAAAATTAAAAGGTCGATACCGCGACTTAACGCGTTAAAGCAGCGTGTACTTATCTACAGCGAGCGGCACTTATCTCCGGCGGGCACATATTCCCTAGTCTTTTTATTAGCGCTACAAGGTAATCCGGGATACGCAAATCGGAATTTATAATATCTATCAACGCTAAAGAGGCGATCGTGGATTTTTCAAGCATTTCAATGCGAGATAACGACCGGATTAATCGCCTATGTGTAGCATTTAGCTGCGTTTTCAGGGAATGTCTCGTACAACCATTGAAAATCTTCACATCGAGTTAGCCAAATGTATATATTTTTTAAACAAAGCGGTATATTGCTTTCAAGCTCTCATAGATATGTTGCATTTCATGACTTTTTGGCAATTTTATTCACGAAAGGTACTCCAATTTGATATTTTTTGAAGATACCACGTTGCTTTTATTTGGGAACGTTCAATTTCCGCGACGACCGTTACATGAAACATCCTGCACGCGTGCCATTTTTTTTACGAAAAACGGCAGCGGATGTTTTAATAAACATTGCTCTTTCACTATATCAATAAAATAACAAGTCAGCGGAAAAATAATTGAAGGTGATACAATAACGCCGGCGGCGAAATAGAAGAACAAAAGTCTAATTATCGTGGAGATTCGAGAGTAATTTATCTGAAAATTAGCGATTAACAGATACCACTGCTATGACAATTTTGCGAAAAATCGCTCGCATACGGAGGAGATTGTACTGGGTCTTTAAAGGAGTCAGTGTCACTGGTGAGTTACCTGAGCGTCTTGACGCCAATTGGCATGGAATGCGCGTCCTCGGCAGTGATATGCGTCTTGAGGAACTGACAGAGATCCCCGTGTTCCAGATATTCCATTACCACGCAGAACGGTTCCTCGCGGTAACAGGCGCCCAGAACCCGTGCAATATTGCGATCTTCCAGAGCAGCCAGAATCCTCACGTCTCTTTGGAAGTCCAACCTGTGCGGGATTAACCCAGTTCCCTTCGGTGAATTATCACTGATGCTACAATTAATTAATCCCGCGAGAACTTCTCAAAATGAAAGAAGAATCTAATTTCGTGTCCGACTTCGCCAATCGTCGTATCAATATTACTACTGACGAAAATTAATTTTTCGCTGCCGTAGCTAATCACGATTTGCTAGAAATGTTTTGCCACGGTAACTACAAATTTCTAGTCGCCATATCGATCCTGTTTTATGATAGATTGCGGTGCAAGAGCGGACCCGGAAAACTTTTCTGCGGGTGCACTATCGTGCGCAGTTTGGGCTGCGTCCAATTTTAAAGATCCTGAAAGCGCGAGATGCAAAATATGCGTTCGTGCTTTCCGAGATATGAGAAGCACGATGTATTTAAATATATGTACGTGAGATAACAAGGCAACGGAAAGTAAATTTGATATCTAACGCAACAAGAATCACCGTTGTCCGTCTCGGATAATGACTCTCATATCGCGTTGCGCGCTTTCTGCATTGCGATCCCGACGCTCGTACAACGTTAACGGCCCGCGGTCGCCGTCCAGCTCGTTGGGTCGCGGTACTCCCGGATAAGGGAAGGCGCTTTCCAGCACGCGAGTGCATACGTGCGACACGCCTTTCCACGCAGCATCGTTACTCTGGCCTCACTTACGATCCGGCCCGGCAATGGCGCTCTCGCGTGATAGTTTAACGCGATCGTTAGCGAAACTGCGACGACCCCCGCGGTATCGATTCGCCGTAAACTAAGGATCTCGTTGGTGTACGCGCGATTATCGCGCGGTACCGGCTTCGAATGCGGCGTGGGCGACGCATGGTGCCCCGTCGCTCGGCCGCCACATGCAAAGTAGTCCGTTTAACGTAAGCGTCGCTCCTAAGGCAGCTCAATGATGCCCGCATTAACCGTAAGCTCGTATTCGCGGCTCGGTCTCTCCTCTCTTGCGCTGCCTGCTATCGGTGGTTACGCTGTAACGGTATCTCGTTTCTACACTGATAGCAAACGCGATGCCGAATTCGCGATTTAATTTCGACCCACGACTGCGAGAGTATCCTTTGTCTTCCCAACGACAATTTCCAGCTGTGCTCTCTAAACATCAATCGGTGAATTATCACCGGGAACAGTGAATAGTCACTGATTTGCAGTTATAAGTAGAGGAAAGTCCCTTGTTATGAGATAGGCTCCTAATATGAGATAGCGGGGCTTCTGCTAAATTAATAGGCATCGTCTGTCGATCCCGCCATGAATTTATTTCCCTTGGAGCGAAATCTGTGTTTAGTGCTCTCTAAAAGTCACTCACAATCAGTGATAATCCACTGATTGACTTTTAGAGAGTGGCATTATGATAAGTAGAAATCCACAGGGATTCTACAGTCATTGAAATCATACAGGATGTCGCGGATGAATTTCGGGAAACGGAAAGAGAGATTGAACTGCCTGCGAGATTTAATTGTAGCCTCTCGAGCTACAATTCTCGAAGTGAAAGTGGAATTTGCGCGTGGCAAGCAGGTCTCAACGAATTAACAGCTCCTTCTAAAACAGTGAAACTTTATCATTTCGACAGCTCAGGAGGTAGGGAGAGGTGACGCATCGCCTGCCTCATGCATCGTGGATGCAAATCGGAGCAATCGTGCCGACGCGCTACTTTTAATAAAGTATCAACGCGAGCTACGCACTGCGATACACGCGTGGCGTATAAAACATTCCTTATCTGTCGTTAGCACGGCCTCCTCCGAACGAGCACATTTCCCACGTCGTACGTTTTTTATTATATATTCGCATGGAGGAAATTTGCGATCGCATTACAGTCTATGTACAACGAATGCGCAGCGCGGAGTTTGATACAAAAGGATAAAACGCGTGACGGCAAGAATAAAAAGAAATCGATCTCAAATGTATTCAAATATAGAACCACAGAAAGGATTTCTGATGACGAAGCGTAACATATTGTTGTCATATTTAAACTTACCGCACACAATCTCGTGCAGTAAACAAATGAAACAATATTTAGATTAAATCGATAATCCTATTTTACTCTCTCGAGTTAGACTGACTTACTATTGAGATAAGGGTAACATATAGAGGAAAGTCCCCTATTATGAGACAAATTCCTAATATGCGATCATCAATTGGTTCGATCGTGAATTTATTGCCCTTGAAGTGAAATCTGTTCAGTGGAAAATTCATTGTTAGATCGTGTAGTCGTCGCGAAACAAGATTTGCGATTGAATTTGGACGTTGAAAACCTGCTATCTCGCAGTAGAAGCTTATCTCATAATAGGGAACTTTATAGATTTAAGCAATATATTCTTGCATTTAGAATAAATCTTCCCTCGATGAGTCACAACGCATGCGACATCATTTTACTTTAGCTTTTCTCCATTGAGATCGAAATATCCCCTTTTCAGCAATAAATACTCGCTATATCGATCTTACTTTATGACCGAGCCAAAGTACATAATACTGGAAATCTTTTCTGGGTGTAGAATCTCATACATCGATCTCAAACAATACAAAGTTAATCGTGCAGTGAGAATGCAATTAATCTTAGAATAACGAACGAATTGACGCGGGAGGAGATCACCTTTGTTTCTCTCGCGACGTGATGCGTGCGTAAGAGCGCGGATTTGCGGTTCCCGTGTGTTGCTCGCGTTTCGACGCGAAACTCGCTGGTGCAGTCACGAGATGCTATAAGTCATCCGCGCGATAGGAGCTCGTTGCGTGAGCGGATGCTGAGGATACATCCAAGATCTTTCGGAGATCTTTCTCGCGCGGGATAAAATACGACGGGTCTCCGAAAGCCGTGTATCTAGCCGTTATGTACGGGATCGACAGAACTGTCGCGATTTTTTGCCCGCGGGTCGCCCCGGCAATCTCGAAAGTTGATCTCCTCCTAACTCCGATATTCAAGCACCTAGCGCGCTCGCGTGAGCCCCGCGGTATTTTTCTAAAGGTTTAACGAGCGAATCGATCGCGTGAGACTCGATCCTCCCCCCCCCCCCCCGCTCAAGACGGCCGGAGCGCCGATGAAGAATACTCAAAGTGATCCCGACGACGGTTAACAATAAATTAATCACTCTCGTATAAGACGCTCGTGCAATCGTCTCGCACACAACGCGATGCCTCATGCCGGGAATTGCACCGTTACGGAATTGCAATATGCAGCGAAACTCCTCGCGCAAGTAGATACACTCGTGCACGCTAAATCAGCCAAATTGCTCGCTATTCTCCCTCGCATCGTCTCAGACGTCCGACAGATTGCTCCGCGGACGGAGTCGACGAAATTTCCCTTCGCCTTCGATGCCGAGAGAGAGACAGACAAACAGAAACAGAGAGAGAGAGGGGGGGGGGATGGACCAAAGGGGGTCGAGGGCCGTCGATTTTCGTCGATGTTCGCCGGTGGGAAGCTTTGTCATCTCTGCTACAAGGTCTCTCCCGCCCTTCGTTCCGCATCGGCCCGTAGCGCGCGCGCGCGCCAAAGTCGGTCCGATACCCTATCTCCCGGTCATTGTATGCAAATCCGTTCCATTCGCGGAATCGAACTGGCCTTTTTCTGATGTCTGACGCGATAGTCGCGAGAACGATCGTCCGGGAACGGCGTATCCGGTGGTTTCGCCGCCGCGGGGCTTCCTCGACGGCGGACGGCGCGGCGCGTCGCGACGCGGGTCGTCGGCATGCGCCCGGCCGGAGAACACGGGACCCCGGGACCGCTCGTTCCCCGTCTCCAAGTTCGATGTATCGCGCGCCGTTGGCGACGAGAACGGGGGTCTCGTTCGCATTATTCACCTCGCTGTCCTCTCCGTCCGCTATTTTTGCACGCGCGCCTCATTGTGCGCACTCCCGGTTTCATCTCACGTAAATTCGGATACCGCCGGGTTATCAGGGCCTGACAACCCGGCCTTTTGACGCGCACGCAATGATCGATATAATTCTCCAGGTATATTTGGAATTTCGAGGGCTCCCAATACGAGATAGTGGGGCTTCCGCTAAATTAATGGGCACCGTCTGTTGGTTCCACCGTGGATTTATCGGAGTGAGATTTGCTCAGTGGAAAATTCATCGTTTGATCGCGCGTGTAATCGTTGCGTGAAAAAAAGGATTTGCGAAATTGGATATCGAAAACCGCCACTGTCTCATATTAGGAGCTCGTAATAGGGGACTTTCCTCTATATTTCAGGGGCACAGGTGTTATCTGACGCGTAAAAAGTTTATTGGATCCGAGTGTACTTATTCATGTGGCATTTTACGATCAATTTGTCTCACGGCGCACCCGGATGTGAATCGCGTCTTCATACCGGCTATCGATTATATATATCTCTCTCTCAGGAGCGGGATAACTTGTGATCTGTCGGTCGATATCAATAGCGAGCGCTGCGTAAAAATTCGAAACGCGACCGGATAGCCGGCACAGAAACGGGCGTCTCCACGTGGACGTAAAAGGTTTATCGTCGTGCACGCTCGGCGGAACCGGGTTAGAGGAAGGCATGCTCGTTTAATTGAGCGTCAACATAACGAGACAGAATGCAAATTGCGGCTTCCATATGGACGTGTATACTCACTTTTCCTTCTCGCTGGCTTCCGGCAGTAAAAACTTGACGGCGACGAGTCGCTTGCCGAGGGTAGTCGTCGTTCCGTATTCCGGAATCCCCTCGGCTTCCGCCACGTATACCTTTATATGCATAATTTGTTTCAATTGCGTTAGATATATGCATACAAGTTACTCGTGATCGGGATAAGTTCGGCAGAAATAACGGAAATTCCGCCGTAACTTTGGCGAATCTCGTCGTGCGTGATTTTGCCGAGGTCGACCTTTCGGCTAATCTTATTTATTTTTTATAATTTAAATATAACTACATACGGTTTTGCAAAATTGGTATTTTTTATTAGGCTTTTCAATTATACAGCGAAGCCAATTGTATTGAATTCTGAAAATTTTGTTTGCCCAATATTAAAAACAATAACACATACAAAATCGAGAAAATTAAAACAAACCGTTTAAAAACCAATGTTTCACTTTGTTTGTAATATTATTTTTTAAGAAGATGCAGATTCTCCCGCGACGCGGTAAAATTTAAATAAATACAGAGCAAGAGAAATTCGCACAATTTACTCTCATATTATACAGTTCCATGAAAAGTCTGTCTCGAGCTCGTATTCTCCTCTTACTTTACGGCTGCGAATGTTATATGATTATGATATTCTTTTCATTAACTCGGTTAATGCGAAAGTACATTCGGAAAACCTTCCGAGCCGTGCAACAATCGTAATCTACGAGTCTAGAACGGGAGCAAAAGCCGATCGATCATCGTACGCATGTAAAACGTCGCGACTTCCGCGTAAGAGACTCGACAATCTCCCGCACGAAGACGATTCATCTGGCGAGTCGACTGGGAGGGGACTCGAGATCGACGTGACCGATCTCGCCGTAATACTCGCGGCAAGTCCCGCACGATCGCGTATCCGCACGCGGGTGCATCCGCGTCCGCGGAAGCCTGACGCGGCAACTGGCGAACCGTGCGAAACCAACGTTTCGGCGAACCTCCTCCTCGTCCGCCACCTCCTCGCTCGTCATTAACGACACGTCGGTACCCGGGGCGGGAAACAAAAGGGAATTATTAGCCACTCTAACGCATCCTAAACTGATTATCCTCGACGACCCCGACGAGGCACTATTGTGCCGGCGAAGAATAACGCGTCCCGGGCACTTCATTAATTGACGTATTGTTGCGCGTCCTGCGCACGTTGAATTGCGCCCGTGCGCCCTGCGCGGCCAACAAACGGATTGATTTCGCGATCGTGACGGAGGAGTTGTGACGTATCGCGCAAATCCGCGCCGGATAGTACGAACTTGCTCTTCATTCGTGCGCGATCACACGGCCACGGGTGATGCTGGTAAATTAATTAATTGGCGTGACGAATTTTCTACGTTGCATTGACGTAACTTGAGTGCACCTCGAAGCGAGATGATCATGTACCCCAGGTCATTTTTTAAACGAACCGAAGGGCACGCAGTTGAAAAATTTTGCGTTGAATTTGACAAGTGTCTCAAACGGTTCCCGCACAAAATTTTGTTTTGTGTTAATTTAACGTAATATGGATAAGTAAAATCATTTTCTTCTGTTAAATTTTAGCAGATAAATCTTGTCATCAATATTAAAGACTATATCTATTGTGTAAAAATAGAAATAGGCGCGTATTGCGTTACTTTTACACTTTCTTCAGATGCTTTAATCACTTAACACTTAAGTTCAATTAACACAACCGCGAATTAACACATGAATGGTCAAACATTTAACACGAAAATTTTAATTGGCATATTTTTAACAAAAAGAAACGCAAGTTTTCCACTTGCGTGTAAGTTAGATCGCAAAGATAAAGCAAATAAAGTCGCAAAGCTTTTTTCCCGTAAGTTTCAGAAGTCGAGGTATCGCGGAGCGCAACAGACGCGCCAAAGCTCGTCGATAAATGATTCGTCTAATTGGAAATACACACGTATTATTCGCGGCTGTAATAACAACGTCATTACCGTTCCGAAGGCGCCTTCGGCGAGTTTCGAGAGCATGCGAAGGCGATGCCGTGGGAAGAGCGGTACGCTGGTCTGCTCCAGACGTCTCTTCAGGGCCGAGAGCACCTCCTGTTGAGTCGGCGACTGCAACACGAAAGCGCAAATGCATTGTGCGGGCTATCCAACGATAATCAACGATCTATGATCACGCTAGTCGCGCCAGGGCGCATCGTGGGTATCGCAGAATCTACGGCCGTCATTCGACAAACGGCTTATCCCCTTCGATCCCCGCGTTCGTGTCTGCGGATTATCGAGTGCACGAGAGAGGGAGTGCACAACTTACAAGTGTTCTATTGGTCGTCAAGTATCTCATTGTCGATTGGAAAAAGCCGACTCGTACAACGTCGGATGATAAGGCGATATCTCTCGTTACTTTCATCGAAATACCTCCCGCTCTTGGATCACGAGATATTTCGTTTTATTGGGTACCTCACCATTTGCCTGGCGATACTTTTTCCAATTGTACACTCTTTAATAACAGAATGCTCGTATAATCATGGACTATATTTTACATTTTCGGTCCATTACATGAACATATTTTATAATTTACTTTGACCCTCGCAAATTGAGACGGACCATTCGAACTCACCACGTTCTGGATCTCAAAGCTAGCCTGCTTTATTCGACGTTCTACTTTTGCGTACGTTCTGCCACTCATTTTCGGCTTGTTCGGTTAAATATAGATTTTGTCAGGTACATAAGAAATTATGGAGCACCGCAACAGCAGTTTCCGTAAAGGAGAATGGCAGAAATGTTGCGCATGATCTCGCGGATCGTTTCAAGGACCGGGATACGCGAGACTTACAAGTGTTGTCATCGATTACGCGGATTGTTGCGCGAAAATGGATTGCACTCGTAGTCCATAATACGCGATCATTTATTTTCATCCGGGAATACGTAACCGATCGCGGAAGTCGTCCCGAAGCTCGACGTTCTCGCAAGTGAGAGTGACATGAAAAGAAATATTGTCGAACGCGCCGGGTATTCGCCGAGTAATCCCCGTTTTGCGGATAACAGTGAATCCGCCGAGAAGGATGATTGGCATTGCTACGAAGCGTCAAGGCCAGACTCGGCGCGACACGGGGTGAAATGTTTTGACTGTTTCGAGTGGCGCTGTCGGGTGTCAATCACGCGCAGACGTCTCGACGTAGACACGGGGCACTTTCGGATCTGGAGCGTCCCGTCCCGAGTATTGTGCCCGGATCAATCTCGATTCACGCCGCGGAAACCGGTACGCGATACCAGATGTGTCTATCCGCGGGACACACGCGTATCCCGACGCAGAGAAAGGACTCACTCGACAGTGAAGAAGCTGTTCGCATTCATGGCTACGAGGGAATCGATCGTGGGACGGGGCGGTAAATGCTTATCAAGTATTCTCCCTTATATCTCCCGATATAGACGCATAGAATCCCCGATTTAAGGCAGAATGATATATGATAAAAAAATACAAGACACTCTGAATGTCCAAATCGTTCGTCGCACCTTTAATTCGTGACAAAATTTGTAATAAAAATTTTTCGAGATATATTTTATATCCACATATATCTCTGGCTAGGTTCGCTTGTTTTATACGAGACTTACGCAACTCCTCAAAGATGTCTAATATTTTCTAATCTAGATTTTTCTTTACGATCTTTACGATTAATTTATGTACGATTTTTTTTATGTAAAAAATGTGTACCTATTTACATTGTCGAAATTAAACATATTGACGTCCTTTTAACTTTCGCTGTTAAATAACTGACTTTGTAACCTTCGTTGAATTAGGTATCGTTATCTTTTTTAGCATCAGCAGGTCCTCTATTAGGATTTTGATGTGAGTTAGTAGGTTTACAACGTCCAAATTTTCAATGACAAATCTCTTTTCGCAACGATTACACGATCTAACAATCAATTTTCCACCAAACAGATTTCACTCCAAGGGCAATAAATTCATGGTGGAACCAACAGATGACGCCTATTAATTTAGCAGAAACCCCGCTATCTCATAACAGGGACCTTTCCTCTATCATTTACTTGCTGATTTCGAAATTTTCTTTCCGATTTTAAATATTAAACAGTTATTTATAAAATATGTATTCTGCATAATTTTAAGTTAGAGCACTATGTTCTATTCTAGTGCGAAAATAATTTATCTGCAACGTGTACCTTAATTTTCTATAAAATTTATCCTGAAAATCATGTGATCGTGGAACAACGTGGCGTTCCAAGGACTTTGAGAATTTTCTGAAATTTTCCCATACATTTTACTATTAAAATGTATACTAATTGTAAGTATAATTACTAGAGTAAAATGTACGGTAAAATTTCACAAGACTCCGATAAAATTCTCCAAAGTGCCGTGTTATCCCACGATCGCAAGATTTTCAGGAATAAATCTTAAAAAACAAAATTCTCTCCGCGTACAATTTTGTCGCTTTGAGTCACATCGGACGCACGGCTCTTAAAGCGAGAGATTACTCGGGCGACAAAATTTCGTACGGGCCGCCCGATACCGGGACGGTTGGCCGTGAAATCAACCCCTATCGCGCAATATTTTTGCAATGTCGGCTGGACGGGTCCCACCGCTGGAAGCGGGCGGGAGGGGGGGGGGGCGGTTGGAAACGTGATTACACGACGCGCTTTCTCTCCGCAATTAACGGAGCGGACTGAACCGAAAGCCGCTGGACCGCGTAATGATGATACATTCCATGAGGGTCGCAGCAGCGGGCGTATCCGCGAGAGGACCCCTGTCGACGTGTCCTGTCGACGGGAGTTCGTTTACAGGCCGCGCGACGACGGCGATCAATCGATCGATCTCGCGGACAACGTTGACTACGCCGCCAGTCTCCGGCTCTATTTCCGGCGCGTGTGGGACGAGCCGCGATAGCGATTTATTGTCTAAGCAGAGTGGCGTCACATGCTGGCCGTTTCGCCGCCCGTCCCTCGCTCGGCGATTTGTTCCAATTATCCTTTTCCGAAATCGCGTCGTCCCCGTCACGTTAATTATTTCCGTTGTGCTACGCATGCGAGTTACAGTCGCGTAGTTTATGGCCAAATAATTATTTTTTTTCGCGCCAATCACAGACGCTAAAGGTGACAAAGATAACGATATCTAATTCAATGAAAATTATAATAAAGTTAGCCATTTAACAGCGAAAGGGATTTTAATAGGCTTCATTTCGACAATGTAAATAGTTGACTGAACGTTTTTTACATTTCTTAAAAATTGATCATAAATTCTAGATTGGAAAATATTAGATATTTTTAAGGAGTTGCGTAGGACTCGTATAAAACAAGTGTAACTTTATGACCCGGATTTTCATTATCTAGTTAACTGTTAATCAGAAGTTAGTCGACTCTCCATCCTTTTCTATGTTATTATCAGGGTTGTGAAAGTTACCTTATAAAAGTATCTAGTCACAGTTACAATTTTTTTCGTTAAAAATGTAACTGGTTATAGTTACAATTTACCAATTCTAAAAAGTAACTTGTTACAATTACAGTTACTCAAAAAGTAACGAATCGTTACTTTGCCGTTACTTTCTTGCAATAAAAATAGAAATATCAAATATACACTTGAATTGCAAAGTGCCGATAAAGGCGCAAAGGCAAGGCCTAATGCGATCGGGCTAGTTTCACAAACATCGGTTAACTGCTGACCAAAGGTTAATTGATTTTCTGTCTCTTCTTAAATAATAAAATGGAAAAGGATAGGGAGTCGAACCCTAGTTAACAGTTAACCGATGTTTGTGAAACTGGCCTTAAAGCGCTGCCCTAAACTGAAACTGAAATGGTACAAATACACCAATTAAATTGATAATCAATTCAATGACGCCGATGCCAATAATTTTTAACTATCGCGAAACTGTGACGCAAATTTCACCAATGCAGTTTCGATCGTTCAGTAATTTATATTCTGAAATCATAGCACGTAATCGCACGATGGAGGGAACGTCCGATTTTATTGCGATGCATTATTTACAGTATATTAGACCCGTATATAAAACATAAATACATAAATTCGCACGGACGAAGAACTTTTACCGTATGTGCGGTCGTGTGTTGCCTGGCCCTCAGCTGATCGGTCACCGTCTCGTTGATAAATAAAAGAAAAATGTGTCCATCAATGCCGATTATACGCTCGCTTTTAAATTGATCTTCGGCCGCGATCCCGTGATTCTTTTCCTGCCGATGGAGAGCCCAGGGGATCGTCTCGCGTGTTCGATGTCGGTCCGGAGGGGATTCCTGCGCTCTTTTCCGCCCTCATACAGCGCTCTGGCATTCTGGATACGAGCTACGTTATACTGTACCCACGGGAGGTATATCCGCCCCAAATGTTACGTTCTCGTTCCACCATATTGATTTAAATTATTAATTGCGAATTTATCTCCGACCGGTGAAAAGTTACGTCTAATGGCACGACAACGGCGTGCATTTTTCTCGACTCTTTATTTATAGGGCGCACATTAAGATCAGTCGGCGTTATTCGTTAAACTTTAACGCCACCGCCTCGCCTTTCGATTCTTGATTAATGTACACGGAGAGAAGTTTCTTTTAAAATTTATCCTCCGAGAATATTGTAATCGTGGGACGACACGGCGCTTTGAAGAATTTTTTTACAGCTTTTTGACATTTTACCATACATTTCACTAGTTAATTACATTTTACTACAAGTAAGAGAATGTTTTTCTTAAAATTTATTCTGAAAATTATGTGATCGTGGGACGACGTCGCATTTTGAAGAACTTTGTGAGAATTGTTTGAAATGTTACTATTAAAATGGTAAACTTTCACATTTTTCGAAATGCCGCGTTGTCTCACAATTACATAATTTCCCGAGTGAATATTAAAAAAAAAATAATTCTCTAGAGTTGAGAATCATCTTGACTCGTTTAATTATATTGCAAGTTGTAAATGTATGGTAAACTTTCAAAAAAACTCTTATAAGGTTGTTCAAAGTGCCATGTTGTCTCACGATCGCACGATTTCCTGGATAAATTTGAAGAAAACATTCTCAAAGATTGTCATTTGCTTTGCGATACCCACAATATAATATACCGTACAAACTAAGCTAAAGATACTTTTTCCGTCCTTTATTGGTTAAAATATAAATGTTAAACAAGAGGAACGTAATATTAATGCACACATGCAAGATGTCTAAAACATATTTTAAGCTCTTCCATATTTTCTAAAGCCGAATGATAGAGATTAATAATTTAATTTGACAAAAAATGTATATTTAATGGAATCTCTTTTCTGGATTGAATCGCTATTAAATTTCAGTTGTAATATCGATACCATTAGAGTCAATAAAATATTCCATTTTGTGTGCGTTTAAAAAATGCAAAGTTATTTCTATTATATATTCCGGTTTACGTCGGAAGGGTTTGCGAGCTTAATGCGCGTATTGTTAAATGAATTGTAAAGGAACGTAAAACTATCTCGTAAAGCGCTAAGTAAATGCGAATCACCTTCTTGTCCTCGGTCTTCGTGGGCCGCGAGCTCTTGGTGAAGAAGCCGTCCTGATCGCCGGTGGCGTTGGAGACGGTCGCCCCGCGGCCGGCGCCGGCGTCCTGATTGAGCAGGGGTACCGTGCCGAGTTCCGGTACCGCATAATCGTACGACGTGTCAACTGCACCGTTCGCGTACACCGCTGTGGATGATATAGCAAAGGAGGAGCGAGCGCAGAAGGGGATGGCGTATTGATTGCGGTCAGGGCGAATGCTTTGTTGCCGGGACGTATATGTAGGTGCACGGCCCCGTTGGCAGAGGAGCCGCGGCCCTCGGATGTGTGCGTGCGTGTCGCGAATAGATGTAGGTGTAGATGCGTTCGAGCGCCGCATACCTGAGTGATTGATGTTGGTGCCCTTGTTGTTCAGCATCATGTCTTTCATCTCCATAACGACGGTGCTGTAGCTGTAGTACGGCGCGTACTTTAGCGCCTGATACGGCTCTTGGTAGTCGTCCAACTTGACGATGTCTAGGAGACGATTTCCGAGATCGCGGGGCAAGGTCGGCAGAGAACCGCCCGCGTATCTGAAAGAGGGGCGATCGGATCACGATGGCCGATAACTTCTCAGCCGCGTCACCCGCGCTCTCCCGTGGCCGCGACCATTCATTTACTCAAATTGCGTCCTTTTATCGGCTCCCTGCTTGAGCAGCCTCATTTAAATCGCGGTATCAATGCGATGCGGATATTACACGTGATCTCAAAGAGAATTATGTATGCAAAATGTATTGGAATAACCCCCGACTTTGCGGATTGCACGGGTCTTTGGTTTTCAAGGGCAGTATATTTTCCGCTCGAGAATTTTAGTATTATGTGTGCGGAGCACGCGGTCCGTCAAAGGACCCCGCGTAGCATTCGCACGCCTACTTCAAGTTGCACGTTACACGTACTCTCTTTCGGTACGGAGCTCGCAACTGCAATATCAGATTGCACAAAGCGGACGGGGAGCTCGGCAGGGGGAGGGGAGGGATCGATGCCGAAACTGGTGCGGGATGCTTCGGAGTTACGAGGCGGCCGGAGGATCTCCTTTGGAGACATTCGTGCCGCACAAACTCGATATATTGCCCGAGGATGTCCGTTATTGGACGTTATTGGACGTTCGCTAACGAGCACGGTGGATGGAAAGTTTATTGGAAGGCCGCTTCCGCCATCTGAGCGTGTGTCCTGGGTGGACACACAAACTTGGAAGAAATGAGGAGAGCACGGGGGCCTCGTACGGCGCTCGTGTATTATCGTTAAACACGCTTCGCGAAATGCAAAAGCGAGTATTCGCATGGCTCCACAATACTCGAGCCTTGCGATAATTAAATTAATCAAATCAAATTAATCCAGACGTCACGCAATAAATAAGAGCACCGGTCGTAAAGTAATAACCCGGTAAACACCAACTAACAGTTACATAACATTAATGATGCAATTTCCCAATCGACAATATAAATGTAACGTAACACATGTTGTACATAACAGTAACATTGTCGAAAATTATAATATCGATGATTTGTGACTGTTAGTTGGTGTTTACTGGGAAACACTATTCCAAGTACTAGATTTTACGGCCGAGAGCTGATTAATTTACAAATATTGCTTTCAAACTCGTGCGATTTTATTTTACTTTTCTACAATTCGCGTATTTTAATTGTAAAAAGTTTTATTAATTTTATGTACGAGAGAGAGAGGGGGGGAGGGAGGGAGCGCCTCGAAGAAATTGCATCCCGGGTTTTTCCGACATTGTCTAGGATCGCATTGTTTTTCCGCAATTTCGTTTTCTTTTACTTTTCAGCGAGTAATCGATTGTACCTTTCATCGTCCTCCAAGGTGTACGCCATCAGAGCCGCGCCTTTCTCGACGGTGGCGCAGGTGGATCCTAAATGCGAGGGAGCTTTGCCGGTCATAGGACTGGCGAAGCACTTGCGTTGCCTGTGTCGCGAAACAATCAGAAATATCGCGACGGCGAGCGAAAGTATTACGGCGGTCAGCACGCCGATCACGATCGCCATGTACGTGGGGTCGTCGTGTTTCGCCGTCGAAACCGGAAGCTCGCCCTCGGCGGCGCCGTTCTTCTCGATGAAGACGTCGCTCTGGATAGGTGATTCGGTGGTCGGGGCTTCCTCGGGCGTGAAGTTGCCGTGTGCTATATCTATATTGGAGAAGGAAAATTTATCAGTTTCCCCTCAGGATCCTTCAACTATATCACGCATATATGTATACAGAAAAAAAAAGTGTCGGATCAACTCTTATATACTCAAATTAACGCGTTCATTGTTTTATACGCAACAATCTGTAATCTTTTTAGAAGCATTTAATAATCTTACACTTGATCAATATTACAGTCTTATTTAAGTTCTATAATTGTCACTTTGTGAATATATATATAATTATTTTGACGATAAAATCATTTTAATCATTGTAAACTTCGATTTGAAAACATGTTATTTTCTATCCAATATCGTTTCCTTTGCATTCAAGAAAATGAATCTGAAATAATAAGCGTACACGGAGAGAATTTTCTCTTAAAATTTACCCTGAAAATTATGTAATCGTGAGACATGGTAGTTTGAACAACTTTATGAGAGTTTTTGAAAATTTCCCGTACGTTTCACTAGTGATTATACTTATTGTTACTTTTAGCCTTAAAAAAATGTTATTGTCACGAATCCTTCAAGTATATTTATCACGTTATTTGAATATATAACATGTACATTTCTATACATTTGAATTCTTGATTTCGTAACACATGATTTTCTAAACGCGCTAAACGATATAGATATCCAGTGTAGCGTACAGTGAAACGTGATACACTATAATGCTTTGTGGTATCATTCGTAATTATTATGCCAGTACGATTGCAATTAATAACTGCCATTGTTGTTATATTCAATGCTATTATCTCTGTTGTTACGTTGATATTATTATCTGGTATTATTATGTTTGTTGTTGCGCTGCATCATGTCATTATTATTGAAACGCTTCCTGAAGTCTTTAAGGGGATATTATTAGAAAAGTTTGTTTTTTCGCCATTTAACGCGGAGCCGGGTATCGTTGACTTGAACTCCGTTGTGTGCATAGCACGAGCATTAAGGAGGATCGCTCACAGAAGGGTGCGTCTAATATACGCGCGGAGATTAAGCTAATCGTGCATAAGGTGCGCAAAGATCCGCCTTTGAGGACTGAGGATTACAAAACGTATGCGCGCGAGATAGATATAGGTGCGTGAGAGAGAAAGCGTATGTAAAGAGCGCATGTAGAGCGTATAATTAACCTATATGCGCTTTGACATACGACTTCACTAAGGATGTTGCTGCGAGGATACACGGAGGTTCGTTACGGGGAGGGTCGTTTGGTTTACTTCTCTCGTAAACGCGCGAGAGATAACGTTCCCCATTTATTATCATCGCGATATCGCATGAAAGAGACCGGCGGAGCTTTCAGCGTGTAAACATATTATATTACGCTTTTGTCGATGGGCTGTTTTGTGCGCAAAAATTGCGTAATTAAACCCCCCGCTGTTTGTTCTTTCAGAGCGTAATTATACGCGTCACTCTCATGGTGTTTAATAATGCGCTTTAACGAAAAACGATACGATACGCTTTCCCGTTCTCTCGTCGCGGTAGCAGGGGGATTACGTTTCATCTTGCCATAATTACGAGGAGAGAGCGAGAGAGAGAGAGAGAGCGAGCGAGAGAGAAAGAGAGGGAGAGAGAGAGGGAGAGAGAGAGAGAGATATGAGACAAATACGTCAGATAAGGATTATTTTTCATGGGAAAGATGCATCGATGGCACACGCTCATATACGAGAAGAAAGTCCCCTATTGCTTCTAATATGAGATAGCAGGCTGTCTGCTAAATCAGAAGTATATCTCATAATAGGGGACTTGCCTCTACGTTTCACTACTTGCGCTCTCCGTCCGTCTCGAATTTTCACTTTCGCAGGATTAACACTTGGACGCCGAACGCCAAGGTAATTCCCTCTAGCACGCGTCTAGCCGAGCGGTGCATTTGAATTATTAGCGCGCTCGATACGCCTAGGATTTTGAAATCCCATTTTCGTCACGGGGTGCCTGCGTTTACGGTGTCACCCCGTTTTCTGTCGTTGCACTTCACTCAGCTCGGCCGACAGAACAAGAAATAACATACGCAGGAAGAAACGAAAAAGAATTACGCACGCGGGAGCAACGTGCACGGATTCACGGCGTAGCCTCTCCTAGTTCGCCGTTGAAGCCTTTTTGTGTAGCATTCGCATGCGGAATTCCCCAGCATGTTCTTGCGCGAATTTTTTACGCGGCAGCGCGCTACGAAAACTCCATTTCGTCGTTTTACGCGCAGTGAAATAACTTCGTTTTGATGCAATTTCTGCAAGATTGGGTCGGATTATCCTTCTAACCCCGCTATTTCCTAGAGTTTTTTTCACTATGTGTCCCTTGCAAATTGCGCGTATTGCAGGGAGCAATTCATTAAATTGATGAATTAAACGCGTTATCGTAATCGCGGATTCCACCGCTATACATTTTTATGTCGCGAACGCGTTTTGCGCATATTAGTAAATCAAATAAAGCATACTATAAACGCTCGGTAGTTTCAGCAACTCTGCCGATGGTGCGTGTTTCAGTTATCAAATAATTTAATATTCTATAAACAACGGTAATTGGCATCTTTTAATTGGCAACAACTAACAATTCATTTAACAAATAATTCCAGACGGATGTACGCCGTGTGCGAGGAGAAATTAAATTCTGCCGCCGGCGGTGCTTGCTTAATCGACTAATAAGCTCGTAACTATCGATACTCATTTTATTGGCGATTTATGTAACTTGGAGTCGATTTCAACCTCGATAGAAATATGACGGAAAGCCATTATCGCCACAGCTTTCTCATCTTTCAACGTTAAATATTTCAGCGATTATAAATATCGAAGTAATATTTCATTAATCCCCGTTTTATCAATTGAATTTAAAGAATAAAATTTTATCATAATTTCCAACATTAAAATGACGTCCGTTTGAAATATTTCCGTCATGATCGCTGCGATTCGACGTCGCTGTATTAAAAGAGCGCCGGCATACTTTCAATTCCCCAGAAATTTCGAATTCGTTTTTGAGGCACGTCACCGTAATTTCAGGATACCCAGCGTTACCGTTTGGATATTATTTTCATTATATTAAACATACTTTCGACAACCCGCAAAGACTTCCTGCAGGAACGTTGGAACGTTCGCGTCGCGTCGCGGCAAGATTCTAATTTAAGAAAAACGCGACGCACGCGGCGTACGCGTACTTATTTTCGCGAGGGGAAAGGAACGAGAGAGCGAGAGAGAGAAAGAGCTCTCGAGAAAGAAGCGTAACTCGCTGGTCCCCGGATTTTCCGCGAGAGTCATCCTGAGATATCCAGCGCAGGAATATAAATTTCTTCGGATGCAATCCCGACGCGCGCTTTGTCGTCGGCGCGATCCGAGGCGGCCAGGGCGAGCGCAGGAGCGCGAAGGGAGATGACGGGGAGGTCCGAAAGGAGAAACCACGCCGCAGGAGCCCTCGTTCCTGGGCTCGCAACCTCGGGAATCTTCGCGCGTGCGGTATTCCGTCGCGGAATTCCCGGCGGGATTTACGCCGGACGGAAACAAAGCCGTCGTCGCGTTTGATATGGCTGGTCGGGCGTCATTCACGGCGGCCCCCGACGAAAGGCCCCCCGTTCCCGACGCGATCCCGCATGAAATCTGATATTAAACATTCTTCGCAGACCGGCAGGTGGTCGTGCGGGTACGAATTGGAAAGGGGAGGCTGCGCCGCGCCGGTGTCGAGACATCGCCCCGCGCGATCTCGCAAAACTGACCGCGCGCGGTCGCGATATCGATGATGGCGAGACTCGCGTTTAAAACGCTGACGAATTGCTAGCGGTGGAGATAAAATGGTATGGAATGATCACCCCTGCGGATCTCCCGGTGTGTGCACTTATGCGAATGAGGAAGCTTATCCCAGGGAAATTCGTCCTGCGACGGAATATCTCCACATGTGTGCCGCACTCGGCAAAGATTTTTCAGTCGCGAATAAAGGTATTTTATAGCGCTCGTATTTGTGGAATATCAACATTCTCTTCGCAAAATTAGTAAAAATTTTAAACAAGCATCACTACGATATCGTACATTGACAATTGATATTTGTAAAACATAATGTCGCATCGAATATATAATATAACAAAATATAATATTATATTGTCTAAAACATTTATTTTACCATTGATTTAAGAAAGCCTGTTACTAATTTACTTTCGTTTACAAATTTTGAATATGAGGAAAGGCATTTAAGATACCGGAAAAATTGCACTTTCAAATTGATTGTCAGAAAAGAGACAGAAATACGTGTAATTTTACAAATTCACCTCGACATGTCGAGGAGATAATTTGCGATTAGTTTTCCGTTACGTTTGGAATGGGGAAAAAATGAAAAAAATCAGACGAAATTTTGCATCGAATCATCCGATAAGCGTGCTGTTTTACCTCGAATAAATATTTTTCAAAGCATGTTGTAAAAGCTCGCACGATATCGACTATCCGTTTAATTATAGCATCATGTCGTCTCGCGATTAATCCATCAACAAAACAAAACAAACCAAAAGTTTTATATAAAAAGAGAAAGAGAGAGAGAGAGAGATGCATTTTTATACTACTTGGAGATTGTATTTGACCAGATTTATGATTGGCTTAAGGCCGAATAGGACTAGGGATTGCCGACTCGGATTGGATCGGAATTGGCGATTGACGATTGTCTTCTAGCCAATGAGAGCGAAACAGCCAACGATTTAATCGACTCTCATTGTCTGAAAGACAATCGCCAGTCCCAGTCTAGTCCGAGTCGATGATTGCTGGTCTGATTCGGCTTTTAGGATGTTAGCCGATTGCGACAGGTGTGGATCGGCAAATTACGCGAATCTTGCGCACAAAAATATCGTCCAAGAATACGCGACAAAATTGATTTTCTTTCTTTTCATGTTTTCCTAACGAGAATAGAAAATTGAACAAGGGTAGAGGGGCAGGGAAAATCCGAGGCCGACTTTGTCGTCGTCGGCATCGCACGCGCGTTCGCGTCTCTTTTGCCTCGCAGCTTAGCCGAGCGTGGGGATTCGACGATGACAGGACATGGACGTCGA